CTAGGCCTTACGGTTCTCCGCCAGGAGTGCCCCAACCTCCAATTTGTTTGATGAATATTTTCTACTATCATTAGTAGTATCAATATATGCATTTAGAACGGCGAGAAACGAGTCCAGGACGAAGAACATTCAAACTTAGTGTTAGTGTTCGGCCAAGTGGAAACACCCTGTAAGTCCGCACTAGCGCACACTAAAGTTAATTGGACCTTAGACCTGCCATTAACAGGGTGTTTCCACTGAAAAGTTTGTTAGCGACGTTTTTGAAAATTCTCACCCGGCACCTCGCCTTTGCTCACTTTCTTTTGCAATATCGCTTATTCTATATAAATGTATGATAGAAATGAAAAGGGAATGTTGGGAGGCGAAGGAACGGCGAAGAACGTAGGGCCCATGTGGAAACAGGGGCCTTGTTAGCGGTCCAATAAGTCCATAAAAGTTACAGGACCCCCGGACCAGCCAATCAGGTCCGATAACTTTGAGCGCGAAAATTTTGTGAGCTCCTTTTTGAAATCTACTTGCACCCGGTCTTCTGTACACTTTCAGTCTACAACCCTGACTGCTTGCCGGCCTGCGTCGTTGACCGAACCGAAAATGTCGCAGAACCAGTCGCCCTCGCCGATTCCTTCTGGCAATATGATCTCTGCTCTCCATAACGCCTTTATGGCAACGATGCAGCAGCCCCTGCAGGGCGCGCCGTCTCTTCGCTTCGACGCCGATGTCCATGCTGCCGCCCAGGCCGCTTCGCAGAAAGAGCCCGGCGACGACCTGTAAGATAACCTCGACCCTCATTTCTCCTTTACTGACTACAATATTGTCCTCGAATTAGGGTGTTTTGGCGCTAAATGACGTGCAAAAAGATGGTTTCGGGGCTACTAGTGGAAACACCATTTTGTTAGGGTTTGTTAGCGCGCCAATAACTTTTTCGCGGCTAACAAACAGACTTTTCAGTGGAAACACCCTGTAACTTTAGTACCTAGCACTAACTATTTGGCGGGCAACTTTTATGAGCTGGATTTCCCTTCTGACCATAGACTTTAGACGTAAGCAGCTATCTTTTTTCCTTCCTGCAAACGCCGCGTTGACTTGCGCACGCCCAACACCGACAGCCTCAGAACACCGCCATTTTGCAATGGAGCCCTCCTTCAATAACGTTCAGCAAACATATACCGCTAGTTTGCCTTCCTTCGCTGGCCGGACGTTGCCAATGCACCATGCGGACTTCATGGCGGACATCATGACGCAGGCTGCGCCGTAGCGGATCTTAAATACGCGAATGCTTAATTATCAGCAATTAATCCCTGGCGCTAAAACATTCAAAATACGAAAACAATTTTGGTTTCGGCGCTCCTTAGTGCCGCTAGTGGAAACACCGTCACACTAGCACTACACTAAGTCCATACTAGCACATAGTGTACCGAAGATAGTGTCCGGCCAAGTGGAAACACCCTGTTATTCGTGAACACTACTGCTGCTACTGCAGCAAAGCCCATGCAATCATGCACGTGCGCACGCACGCGCAGCAGTTTGCTGTGATACAGCTCGGGCTTTTGCTGTACTACATCTGCTACAGCTCCGATAGGCCCCTGTCAGATCCCGGTTCCGAAAACATCCAATGGCAAAACGGGCGCCATCCCTGCCGATGCCCTTGACTGCCGCTACCTCTGCTACCGCGGGAGCGGAAAAAGTGAGGCACATGCAGCAGTACCATGCAGCGGTGGTGCACCAGCAGCGACTCGCCGTGCAGCGGCGCTCCTTCATGTACGAAGAACAGGACCACGCCCGCCGCCGGCAGCTGTGCCTGCTTCACATACAGCCAATCCATGGGTCGTTCACGTATCAGGTCGTAGCGGGACATTGGGTGCGGCGGCGCCATCCTTATCAGCATCTGCTGCTGCTCCTGCTGTTGCCCTCCTCCTGCTCCTCTTTCTTCCGACCGGAAAGACACGTCCATGGAGCCATTCCTCAAGCCATTTTGGCTGTTACTAATACCGGTGGTTGAGGTGGCTGTGGTGGTATTGGGCAGGGCACCCGGTGTTGCCCACAGACGTGACTCATCATCCGGAAGCACAGATGATGACGTCAAATCGTATCGCTGAACCTTAAACACGCTATACTTCGGCCTTACACCGCCACCATTTACATCCCTGTCATCTCTCCAGACCACCTCCACCTCCGCCTGTAACTCCCGCCGCCGGTTCCCGCCCTGCCGTGCTCGGATCGGATCTTGCATCTTCGAATCTCCCGACCCCGCGGACGCTGCTGCCTGCACCGTCGTCGCCGGCATCTCCAGAGTCGCCCTTCCTGGCCCCATGCAAGCGCCCCAGGGCTCCGGCCACCGTCGGCCGGCCTTCGGGAAGTAGATGTACTCGTCAATGTCGGTGGTCAGCAGCACCAGATTGGCACCGCAAGCCGAGGTGGCGAGGAGCGCGTGACTGGACACCAGCGCCTGATCGTAGTTGTAGCTGTCGGAATGAGGGTCGGGGCAGTGTGTGTGTATGTGTGTATGTGCGTGTGTACCGTGGATGGGGCTGAGGGGTGTACTGAGTGATGTGAAGTGTGTTTGGGAGTCACAGGACGAGAACCCCTAGGATTTACGATTAATCGGGTAAGGCCCGACTACAAAGGCCTGGATGGGGCCGTACGGGGGGTCCTGGTTGCGGGGTGTCATCTTGCATCGTCATTTCGGTGCATGGAGTTGAGTACGGTACATGATTGAGGGTACGGCACCTCACGTGGGTCACGATACTGCGGAGGGGGTTGGGGGTTGGGAAGCCCAACAGCCCGTAGCCATCCTCCTACCCTTCCGCACTCACCCCAACGGTCGCCCAGCGCCATCCTTGTCGTCGTGGGCCCTCTCCGGCATGTCCCACTTGACCAGTCTGAAAGGAAGGAATCATGGGGCGGAGGGTTAAAAGGGGGAGGAGTGATGGGGATAGTATAGCAAGGCCGGGCTTGTCAGCGTCTAAGAATCATCACCACATTTTCCCACTACCTATAATCACATATGCCATGTTACACCCAAGCCCCAAGTCCTCCTATACGTGCTCGTGCTCGTATTCGCTATATTCTCCACTTCCCGTCTGAACCCTCTCCTTCCAGGAGAGGAAGTCTGCGGGTTTCTCACCTCCAGTATGTCATCACCTCCCCATCCCCCCCTGCACGCCTGCGGAAAGAAGTCAAAACCTCGCACCTAAGATGTCCCCGCCGTACCAGCTCCACAATCTGCGCGTTCCGCATCAAGTACGAGCGCATCAGCTCGTCCGTGTACTGCAACAGCCCTGACGCGCCCATAGCCACATGGTACGACACGTAGTTGATTAACCGTCCTGCGACCCGTGCCTGATGGTCCGTCCAATCACGTGTGGATTGGGCGTGCCGGATGGGCCCTATCGCTGTGTACAGCGCGGGTTTGGCGGCACTGAATCCGGCAGCAGGAGCCAGGGAGTCGCAGATGCCGTCGATGGCGGCAGGTGGGATGCAGACCGGGGCCTTATGTTTGGGGTAGCTGGCCTCAATAATCTGCGGAGGGCAAGGGTTTTAATGGTGTTAGGTGTTTTAGGGATGCCTGAATGTGGGTATGGGTGTATGTGTGGAGAAGTGTTAGGGTGATGCGATATTGAGAATTTTCTTTTCCTTTGTCAGCGTAGGACTTGTATTGTATTCTCCTTGCGGTGGTTTGGTCCTAGCGGTGGTGTGGGACTTTGTATTATTGAAGACAAAAAAACCTGTCAACGTCCCGAATCGAAAACAAGAACCCTGGTTCAACGGCCAACAAACCGCAACAGAACTGGAAAGCACCAACGAACAGAATACCAAGAAGATTTTGCCCCAACATACTCCTCAAGATACTTCTCTCCGCCTGACAATTTCTCATCGTCGCCCTCCTCTAATAGCAACACAAACACGACAAGATTGTACGAATCGCACTTTGACGTACTTTGAAGCAAATGCCTGCCCCTGCGGGTAGCTCAAGCCGGTATGAGTACGGCCGCATCGCCTGACCAGGTACCGCAGCGTACTGCCGTACACCTGGCTCCGGAACCGCCTCTAGGAGTGGCAGCTCCGATAGGTCTGTCTCCACCAGCAGCCGGGGCTTCCAGGTGGAGTGCTCGGTGGGTAGGGCCGCGTGGCCGTACACCCGCAGATGGAGGTTTTGGGGCGAGTCCACCCACACCAGGAACCGGAGGGCGTCCTGTGTGTGGGGTGAGTGGGCGGGAGGAGACGTAGGTGATAGATGCGTGGCGGTCTATTCGGTGATGTGATGATGTGCGTTGTGTTGATGATGTGGGTTATGGTGATGTGTGTTGTAGTGATGTGGGTTATGGTGGTTGTGTGAAGAGTCGAGATGCAAAAGATTGAGAGGCCATGAACATAGTTAAACGCAAACAACGCAGCGCATGCATCCATAAGCCCGGAGGAGAGAGGGCAAGGGTCGGAGGGAGGGAGAGCGTGGAAAGGGACCGGTGCGAACTGAGATACCGTGGTGAGAGGTAAAGGGCGATAATGAGGAGATGCTATTGCAGGACACTTTTTTCCACCATGAACGCTGGCCTAGGAATGTCGTAGATAGGTTTGTGTGTGAGTCGGCGGTGGCTGCAGCCGCGCATCGGCGGTTGCGCGATTAAGCAAGAACGCGGCACCAAACGAAGATATATGCACTTATACAGCTGCTATAGTTTGAGACCGCCTTCACTAAAGAACGCGGCCGGTTTGGCGATGAGAACAGTGTGTACCAAATGGCACCCTGTCTCTCCCCTTGCCTGAGGGTTTGTGCCTGTTTAATTCTTACCTTGGTCTGATGTGGCATATCGTATACTCCATGCGTTGCTCCCACCCGTCTAAGCCAGATTGTTAGCGCCACTGTGACATTTCGATGGCCAGCCCTGGTTATCGGGATAGTTGCAAATACTGGCCGAACGACGCGGACTCCCAAGGTAGTTGGTTCGAGTATTTCATGTTGAGACGGTCGTGCGTGATCATACACGTCCGAAGGCCCATCAAGCGCAGTTACGACATGCGAGAAAAAGCAGAGCGTCAGATAAACAATTACCGGGTACTCTAGGAAAATACCCATATGGCTATTGTTCCTTATTTTATGGAAAACCGAAGCACATAATTCGAATCCTCAAGTTATTTGTATGGTTCTCCCTTACTATATACAGTGACAGATCAGGCGCCTCTCAGCGCCAGTTCGACAAGAATAATTATACACGCAGCCAGTGAGGCCGTATGATCTGCAACGCTATTCAAGAGTTTGCGATGCCGCTTAGGAAACTGGCGCGGATTAACAGCCCTTAGTTCCGGAGCCGCTTCGTTGCCATGGATTGTTCCCAGACGTAGGAGAGTGCTTGTCGAGATCGCTTTAGAACACCATGATTTTTTTTGCCTGATTGGCTACGACACAAAGGACATACGAGTTGTCAGGCCCAAAACGTATAACCTTCAACGCCTAACGAATTAACATAATAAACTCACACGCGCACGTTTCCTCGCGTAGCACAAGTGCACAACCTACAATTGCAATTTGCTGTGCGCACCACCGAAGCGACTTGATAGCTCCTCACACAGAGGCCACCTCCAGCAGCCACCAGCAACGAGCTCATCACCACCACCAGTAACCAATCCGTTTTATCGCTCCTTGTCCTCGCCATGGAGCTCGCCTTTTGTATCTGCATCTATTGGTATGCGTACCACGACTACACCTGCACCTGCTGCCTGCTGTTTACACACATGCCGCTCTACACACCGCTTCTAAACTGCTGTCGCTGTTGCTGTTCCTGCTCCTTCTGTTGCTCATCCTGTTGCAGCTCCATGTACTCGCGAATAGCCGCACCAAGCCTGCGAGCTCCCTCCTCCAGCTCCTGAAGCATGCACACGTGTCTTTGTGTCTGTCCATGCAGACGTGAAATAATGTCCGTGTAATGTTTGTTGCAATGTTGGGGCGGTTAACTGGCCGGGAGGGCATGGATAAGATCAGGGTACCGAAGCGGTGAACGGACAACGTGAGAGAGGACTCACACACAAACCCGTTATACCCCCTCTCGACCCCTTCTCAGACCCCGAGAGACCAACCCCCGCTTCCCCTCCGAAACCACCAACCGCCACCGCCATTCACCTGCTCGTTGTAGAACGAGAAGGCCAGTCGGAGGCAGTTGGCGGCTCCCCCTCCGCAGACGGGGCCCGGGGTGAAGCGAACACCGTGACCTCGTTCCGCCACCGACAGCACCTGACGGGAATCGATCTGCGCTCCAGGGTGGGGACGAGGAGAGGGAAGATAAGGGATAGGGAAAGGGAAGGGAATGGAGGAGGCAGCGTGAAAAGGGTGGCGTTAAGTAATTCCTGCGCTGCCAGCTACCGCATACACGGGATATCGCTGAGCCCGGGGACACACAAACTATTAGTTTATTACAACTTTTTTTGTTTCTATCATTTTATTATTTTTATGACTGAATCGATAGTATCGCAAGACATGGTCATGGTGGTTATTATTTCGAGCCACTCCAGAGTTCCTCAGTTCCTCACCCCCTCCTGGAGCTCCAGCCAAAGGAAGTAACCACCCAACGGCTCAACCAGGGAACCTGGGATCCAGCTACCAGTAGGAAGACGACGACGAAGCGCCGAAACCAGTGCCGTACAGCGTGCCGCCAGCCGCGGCCGTACGATATCGTCCAGGTGCGCTTCCTGTAGGGCGCAATATCGGGCTTACTCCCCACCCACCCACCCACGATTACAGGTAGAGCGGAAGGGGTGCGAACGGGGCGAGTGGTCTGAGCGGATACCTGGTATCAGGTGATCCCCGTGCCGTACAGACCCCCGTGCCGTACAGAACCCCGTGCCGTCAGGCTGGCATTCCGCTCTATCACCTCGCCTATCTATCCGCACCGCTGTGTGTGTGGGGGGGGGGGTGGTAAAACTCAAAGAAGTGCGCTTCCCATTTTTAACGTATCAACGTTCCGCTACGACATACTTACGGATGTACAATATACGCGGACACGTGCACGCACCTGCAAGCGGAGGTCCAGTGCGCTGTGTGCCAGACCTGGGATACCGCGAGGCGGGTAGGTACCAGTGGGTCAGTGGGTGCGGCGGTGGAGTTGGGGGCCGGGAAGGCAGCGGTTGGTGGGGTCCGTGAGTCGAGGGCCAGAGGGCGGGGGGAGATGCCAGGGAGAAACGAGCACAGGGCACAGGGCACAGGGCACAGGGAAGCACACATACACAGCGCAAACCGGGAAACAATTGATAAACCAAAGGACGATATAACCCTGCACAATACTATATTATACACGCAAGCAAGCGCGAGGACACGCAAGCACACGCAAGCACACACACGCGCACCGGTTGAGAGCTGTGCGATGCAGCCCCCGCTGCTGATCACTCCGTCACCCCGCAGTCGCTCCATCACCGCCGGGTTGCTGCTCTCCAACCAACTGAGCGGAATGGGTGGCATGTGAAGAAGGGTGGGGTGGGGGACAGACAGGGGAGCAGGTAAGGGCAGGTAGGGGCAGGTGTGGGAGGTTGTGGGAGATAGGGGCAGGTAGGGGTATTGGAAGTAGTGAGATGTTGGTAGTGGGTATACGGGGAAACCACCACACAGGCTAACAACCTGTTCAGGAATCGCTCTCCACTCGCTCGCTCGGGCTCATCCCTACATGTATCAACCTCTTCAACTGACTCCTACGCGGCACTGGCTGTAATAAAGTGTCGTATCCTGCATAGCCTGACCTGGAAAGGACTCACAAGCTGATGGCACACAAGCCACCATCAGCCCCAGGATGCTACACACACGCTGGCATTACAATCCCACCTCTCCCCCTTCCCATATTTCTGTTCATCTCACCCCAGCCTCAGTGCGGGTGCCAGTATCTTGGAGAAGGAGCCCATTGACACCACCCGACTGACCCGTGGGTCACATGACTCATAACAACGAAGAGGACCGGGTACGGCAGCTGCTGCATCCGCTGCCTCCGTGGCAGAGAAAGGAGGAGACACACCACGGCGCGAGTGGACTGAGGCCGGTGCCGTGTAGCTGATAGAACCAGCACCGTCAACGTCGTCGCAGTCTTGTCGCTGTAGCGTGCCTTCTCTGTCGCCGCCGGCGCCGCCGCTGCTACTGTCGCCGCCAGCGCCGCCGCTGCTACTGCCACCCTCATGGTCGTGTTGGCGGTTGTCACCCCCTGCAGGCCCTCGGCTGTGCCGCGGGAAGGTGAGCAGCTGTGGGGGAGGGGGGGGGAGGCAGAGCCACCCGCCGTCGGCGGCATGAGTCGTCCTGAGTTAAGGCACTCAGATGCACGGTGCCCCTCGTAGTACGGCGCTCAGGCCACATCGCCGCCTACCGTTACAACCTGGCCCCCCGAGCTTGGAGCTTCCTTCCCCTCTCCCTCCCTCTCCCCCGCGAACCCGCCAAGGAAAACACACCGTACACCGGCACGCACCTGGTAGACTTCGTCCGCTAAGACATAGAAGTCGTACTCCGCCGCCAGCCTCATGAGGTGGCGGCGGCGGTGCGGTGCCATGCAGGTTCCCCGGGGGTTGTTGTGGACTGGGATGGTGTACACGAGCCGGGGACTGGAGAGGGGCGGGTGGCGGGAGAGGGAAAAGATAGGCAAACCCTGAGAAAGCACGTAACGGGAACCCGAAGATGCGTGCATGAAGGGAGAATGCATGCATGCATGAAAGGGAGGGTGAAAGCATGAAGGTTGGGAGTGGCAGCTAAAAAGCAGCAACAACAGAGATGCAACCAGCCAATCCACAAGCCGCAAACAACCAACAGTCCTGCCAGGTAACACACCGGTTTGCGGGGTCTTTTCGCAGCCAGCTCTCCAGCTCCTCCACCACCATGCCGTACTCGTCAGTTGGTACGGGTACAACCGTCAGGTGGTTATCGTGAAAGATGGGTGTCACCAGAAAATACGTCGGCTGCTCCACCACGATGACGTCACCCGGCCGGGACAAACGACCAACGGCCAAAGCCAGACCATGAGATACCCCTGATCGGTACGACACAAAGCCAGGTAACGGGGGGGACTTTGCCAAAGGGTTTGCATGCATAGGGCCCATAAAGACCACATCAGGAAGTAAAGACCCTTTCGATGCTAAAAAAGACCCATGTACGCGGGAGATTGCTTCACAAGGGTACCCCATGTCGTACATACTGGATCTGCCACTGCGGTGGGGTAGGAGACCCGGTGATGGTTCCGGGTATTTACGACAAGCACGAGTTGCCGTACATGTACTTGTAGGCCGTACATGGCAGGATGTCTATGCCGCTCGAGGGCAGATGAAGGCTGTGCGGCACACAAATACTGCTGGTGGTGGTGATGTGTGTGTGGGGGGGATGGTGCTCAATGGGGCTTTGGGCTCAATGTTCAATATCCCATCACCGCCCGCCTCGTGACCTCCCCTAAAGCCCCAATCGGAACCCTCCCACACACCAGACAAAGCCGTACGACCACACAGACGGTATATACCTGCTGTAACCATCAAATGCTCGGGATGTACGGCAACTCCGTACCGTTCGGACAAGAAGGAGGAAAGGCTCTGTCGGAAGGATCGGTAGCCCTGCCGTGGGCCGTACCTACAAGTTGCCGTACAATGGTACGACAACAGCGGGCAGGAACCTGGGATTTGAAGTCCGGTGCAAAAGAGGCATAAAAAGCGGCCGGACAGGCGACCAGCATGTGGCAGCGTGGTGTGCGTGTGTATAAGTGCGTGATATGTGTTTATGTGATATGTGATAATGTTCCCCATTTTGCGGTGTTGTGAAGTATGGTTTGGCCATGGTCACATGCAAGCAGGCCTAACAACGGTAGGCCTGGAGATGGGGTAGATGAACATAACAAGTGCGGTAGGCTACTGCGGGGGGCCACTCATGAATGGTGTCCTTCGACTCGCTTGTGGGTGAAGGCCGTTGGTGCCGCTTTCCGCGCCCCAATCGGCTTCCTGGCGAGCTTTATGGATTGCAGTCCTGTGATTTTGCAGCTCTATGGGTAAGCGCAGTCCGCTTATGTACGCAGTTTCCGGTGTTAGCCGAACCCGCACCCACCCACCGTACTGTACGAGATATTTATTTCCCTATTGAATTTAACCGCACTATCGACCTCGTTTCAGGCAGAGTTTGTGGAGTTTGTGTGATTTAGCGCATCATTACAAGCATCCGTGCGGAGGTAAATAAGTGCAAGTCTTCTTAAAAGATACTCGCCGCAGCGCACCTTTTTTGCTTGTCAGTGGTAACCGAGGATAATGCACATACATTGCCTAGACCGCAACCCATATGGTCTTACTGTAATAGGAGCTCCGCGTCCGGAGAACCCAGCCGATGCGAGGCCGCTGTTGCTAGCGTTTGTAAAGGCAGGAGGGTCGGGCTTGGCTGTAATTGCGTACAAGGGTTGTTGGAGTAAAGTATGGCTTGCGATGTTGCGTACTGAATGATAAACGCTCACCTGGCCTACGCTCAAATCGATGCAGTCGGCACCGACCTGTCGCGCGACGTAGTCCCCCTTTTGCGAGGTAGTAACTGGCATAGTCTTATCAGAGTGAAATCGCAGTTGTGCCACTGCCAGGTTTATGGACCATATGCAGTGAGCTGGGCGTAAGAAGCAAGCTTGCACGTGACTTCGAAACAGCAGCATGGCCTCAAGAGCAATTTCTGTAAACTACTGTATGTGCCGTTAAAAAAACCATAGCTGCTTACAAGGGCAGCTTTTGGGAGGTTCAGTCAGTCAAATTATTGCTTCAATTCTGCTAAGCTGCGGCTTAATGTGCTGTGCGTAGACTGATTGTCAAGCATGTCCTAATTGACTAGTGGAAAAGAACCAGTCAGAGGATGGAAGTTGGTAGAGGGACCCGGGGGTCACCCGTACCTGTACGACATGAAAAACGATGTTTATACAGCGGTATAGTCAAAGGTCAATAAGATTACAAGTACTACGACGACAAACCGTGTCCTCTTACGGATAAGCAAATGATGTGGGCACGGACTGAGACCGCTTGTCAGCGAAACACTAAGCTAGAACAAAACCATTTCAACCTGCGCGCTTTGCAGCTGATTCCGATAAAGCCACTATGAGTCGGGCGGCAACGAAGCATACGAAAACCTTTCAAATATGCGATCAGGGGAGATCTGGATACTGAGTGCGATGGACTTATTGACCCAGATTGCCCAACATCAAACATCAAACCCTGGAACGTGTCAACACATGCAACAGTTCACCTGGAATAAGCCCTCGTTCAAGCAAGTGCAGTTTTTTGGTCTGAATCTCAGCGTGGATTAAGTCCCTTCCTGCCAATGCGGTGACCTCCCCTGACCACCCCCCTATCTACACAGCTTCTGTTCGGTTCAATACAACTTCCCATCATGCATGATGCACGACGCTGCGGAGCTACCCAACCGGCCAGGGGAGCCAGCTGGCGCCCCACTTCCCCAGTCACGACTATCTAACATCCAGCAGGACATGCGCGGCTCCCTTCAGCCATGGCCTCCTACCCATCATCCTCTCCTCCTCTAGCTAACCGCTAACGATCAGGCCCCGCTTGTCCCATCATCCATATCTTGCAATGCTCCCTAGACCACCCGGATCTGCAATTCGACTTGAGGAGGAGGAAGAAATTTGCCGCACATACCAAGTCCCCCACGGAAATAAGTTTCCATGGCCCTCTTGCGGCCTCGGCAATTGCGTTGCTACGTATCTTCTCCCGCCCAGTGCTCCACCTACCTAGGCTCTACAAGCTACAAGCTACAAGTTCTGCAATCAAGTGCGGGTGGGTCCGTAAAAGCCGAGGAGGCCATGGACGTTATATTAGTGTTGATGCGGGTACGCGGGAGGCCATCATCATCCCCCTCGTTCGCTTCAGGGTGAAGCGCCTCAGCGCGACGTGCCTGGCCTTCCAGATTTCCGAGAGGTACCTGGCCAATGCCAGGGGTGGCGCCTCAGTCATAATGGTGCGCATGCTGCGCCCCTGAAAGACTAGGTCACCATCGTACTTAGCCCGTATGCTCTTGTAAGCGGGACATTCATCAAAAACGTGCAATTCATTTTCAACCGCTCCACAGTCACAAAGCCTGCAGGTACGCGCGGTGCGCTCACGCCCGTTACGCCTATTAACCTCTAACTCCCAACAGCCTAACAGGAAACGCATGAGCACTTGATGTAGTCGCTGGGGCATGGTCACTTTAACCAATCGAGGCGCGCACCCCTAGGCGGGGCCGCTCCCATCCAGTTCATGGTCCGTGGTATGTACAACCCGCTATGTGCTGGATGTGCCACGCACATGTGGCGCAGTTATATTATAGATTTTTAGTCTTCATGCTCTGCAGCAATCGGGAGACGTGGCGCAATGGATAGCGCATCAGACTTCGGATCTGAGGGTTGTGGGTTCGAGTCCCATCGTCTTCGCTAATTTATCCTTTGGGATATGCTTTTTAGTGTGGGGTTCAACGAGGGAAGGGGGAAATGATACACATTCGTTTGCGGCGTCGCAACCTACGCGGTGGTGACCTCCAGGACAGATTAAGATACCTTATGGGGTGAGTGAGATGAGTGAGATGCAGGCGGGAACAACCCTTACAAACACACAGGCAGGCGGCTGGCAGAGGTTAAGGCCTGACTTCTGCTCCCGGTCGACCCAGTCGACCCGGGTTCAAATCCGCCTGCCGGCTCCTCGGGTGTTTGAGGAGTGATGAAATGGGAGGTGGCCCCCCATCTTATGGACGGTGTAGGACGTGATAATATCAACTTGCGAGCTGACCAGGAACTAAGTTGATGCGCCGTTGATCCGCTAGATTTGGTTGGATGCTGGTGGTGAGTTGCCGAACCCAACGAATACATTCTGAAGTCGGATGGGGTGACGGATTAGGGTGCCCCTCTAGCAGGGGAGAGCAGGGACTGCCCCGGGAAAGGGGGCCGCTGGCGAAGTTAACCACCCTGTAACAACATACTTGTTTTAGCACTCGCAATTTACTCGCGGTCCAATCTACTCGCGGTCCATCCCTCTCGTTCTTCAGCATGCATGCACATTGCTCTCCTAGATATGCACTCACCTAGCTCTAACCATAATCTTGTAGAAGTGATGATGTGGTATTGTAACATATAGGTTGTAATGGTACGTTGCAGTGATCTGTTGAAGTAGTGACGTGTGGTAGTACTACCACTAGTGATAGAAGTATTAATTTGTTGTAGTGATGTGTCGTGGTGGTGAGATATGTAATGGAAAGGATGTGACGAAGTAGTGATACATATGTTGCAGTGATATGTTGTTACAGGGTGGTAAAGCTTCACCAGCGCTGGTGAAGGGGGCCGCTGGCGGCCTCCTTTCCCGAGGCAATGCCCTGCTCTCCCCTGCGAGAGCGGCACCCTAATCCAACCACCCCATCCGACTTCAGAATGTATTCGTTGGTTCAGCAACTCACCACCAGCATCCAACCAAATCTAGCGGATCAACGGCGCCTCAACTTAGTTCCTGATCAGCTGACAAGATGATATAATCACGTCCTACACCGTCCACAACATGGAGGCCCACCTCCCAAGTCAACACCCCTCACACACCGAGGGGTCGGCAGGCGGATTTGGACCCGGAACCTCCAGGAAAGAAGTCGAGTCTTAACTTTTGCCAGCCACCTGCCTAAAGAAATATGTATCCCTACTGTGACTAGAAATACATATGCCGCAGTATTATGTATCCCTACTAATAATATGTATCCCTAGTAGGGATACATATATAGTTGTAGTGATATGTGGTTGTAGTAGTGATCTTTTGTGTTGATGTGTCGTAGTGTTGATGTGTCATGGTAGGGATATGACCTAGTAGGGATACATATGCCGCAGTAGAGATATGGTAAGGTAGTGATACATTGTATCGTGATATGTTCTAGTCGTGATATGTTCTAGTCGTGACATGAGAGTATGGGGGCACCATGGCGATGGGCGGCACTAATGGTGGTGCATATGTGTAGTAAGTATCCTGTAGGATGCCTGACCATGAAACCCCCGCCATCACTGCTCACCAGATGCGGGCTGAGCTTGCTGCAGTAAAACCAGCTGTCAGGGCAGGTGCAATGAAAAGAGCAGCCAAGCAAGGAATCGCACCCAGGACCTTACACTATATAAGACAGTACAGTCAACTAGACATACTTTATCGTATTTATGATATATCATAGTTAAGGGTTTGGCACCACTGGTAAGGCGCTACCATTGCCCCCGGGAGATCCCGGGATCGATACCCGTTAGGGTGAAAAGTCTTCCCGATGGTGGAAGGCATTGCGCCCCTAGTTGATGGACGGTGGTATCCTGGGATAAAGTTAACCTGCGAGCCGACCAGGAACGGAGTTGGGCCGCTGTCGACCGGGCAGAATCCGTTGGATGCTGGTGGTGGGTGTGGAACCTGAGCGATCCACTGAGAAGTTGACTAGGGTGACTGGATGAGGATACCCCGAAATACCGGGGAAGGCAGGGTTTCGCAGGGTAGCTGCCACGGGCGAAGATACACCCCCCTGTTTCACACATCATAGTCGTGACATGACGTAGTAAGGGATGCAATGTAGTGATGTGTAGTGATGTGTAGTGATGTGTAGTGATGTGTAGTGATGTGTCGTGATGTGTCGTGATGTGTCGTGATGTGTCGTGATGTGTAGTGATGTGTCGTGATGTGTAGTGATGTGTCGTGATGTGTAGTGATGTGTCGTGATGTGTAGTGATGTGTAGTGATGTGTAGTGATGTGATGTGTAGTGATGTGTAGTGATATGTAGTGTTGTGATGTGTAGTGATATGTAATGATGTGTTGTGAGACATGCCAGAAATAAAGAATGGAGCAGGCAAAAAATAATGATATGCTAGCCACGGGGCAAAGTGTAGTGCTAGAGTTGGGCGCACCTGTGATGATGTGTGTCAGGATGATGGATTGGATCCATGGTTTTGCAGGCCACGATCGTGGTGGAGCACCTGACTGCGACAAGCCTTGGAGAAAACGGGGGGGTCACATAAGGTATTTGGACACTCCCACCGTACATCGAGCCGCATGGCAGATACGTAAAGGATGGCATATCACACTAATGATATGATCGCAGGTCTCAGATTAACAAGAAATAGCTCCACGACGAGGGGTACGTTTCCGATTTATACATGTGCACATTTAGTTAGTCCTATCTGGTGTTCTGTACGAGATGACCGCCCTGACTATGGGGTGGCTAAATAGCCCGTATTGGTTTACCAAAATCATGCGCAATGTGACGGTATCCTTTGGCTGCGTCGGGTAAAGGTCGCAAGCGTCTCTCGCCCCCGCTCCCGCACCACCAGTTTTTTCCCGTTTCCCGGACAGGGCGTCCTTCTCGTCCGAGTGCTGCCGTATTTGGATGACTTCCTCTTCGTGTTTACTTCTGAGGAGCAAGCGTGTCTTGGTGCGCACTGGTTGCGTGAGAGTATCGACTTCTTGGGGTTGTCGTGTCCCCCCACCAAGTGCCAGTGGGAGCCGTCGCAGTCAGTGTATCACTTAGGCATTACGATCAATACGGCAGCTGGTGTGTTTGAGGTCCTAAGCAGAAGCTCGCCAAATTGCGGCGGCTGGCGATCGGGTTGCGGATCATGGCGAAGAAAAATCGGCGTCCCGATGGAGGACAGAGGGTTAATCCCTGGCCTTAATCCGCACAAAAATACACCCTTACGTAATCAAGCTACCACCTTTCTAGGAATGTAATTTTCTTATTAATCGTAAGACTTCTTTGTAATTTTTTTATACATTCTTATCAATCGTAGGACTTCTTTGTAAATTTTTTATACATTCTTTCATTTCAGATTAGTCCATTCATGCTTTAGCGTCATCAGCGCGCGCACAAATCGCCCTCGTCGTTGACATCTAGCCAACTGCCAACGTTCTAGGACGCAACCGACGTCGTGCTCAACCGACTCATGCTGATATTCATTATGTAAATCTTAGAACATCGTGCCTGGGTAGCTCCGCTCTGAAACCCTACCTCACTGAAACGTTGGAGTAGCTTCCACCACCCTTGGCCCAATATCCCCCTCTTCCCAGACAGATAAACATACATCCATCACCACACACAGCACCGCAATTACCTCTGAATTATCATCAACTCAAATCAGGAGGACTGACCATTGCTTCAAATACTTTTCCATGATATCAATATAATCCTTTATCATCCTCTTATGTTACTTTACTTAAGTTCCTTGTCTGCTCCAAGGGGGGCCCGCCGTACATCCGTCCGTACATCCCCATGTTCCCAGGGAGTCCAGTTCTGAGTGAGACCTCGATCAGCTGCACACCAATCATCGCAACCACAACAGACAACAAAACCAAACAGAACCGCGAACAAGAAGAGCCCTGCCGTAATCTACAAGCCCAAACATCATCACGTCGCACCACGCACATTAATAATGTTACCGTATTGACGCAATCTTTTTGCGATGCCAGAAAATTTTTAAAATTTGGATATGGAAACACTATTATTTTGCGAGGCCCCGCTCGGAGTTTATTTAGAAACTTTTGAAATTTGCGAGCTCGTGAGCCATATATGAAAGTTTGCGAACTCGCATCTTATCGTCAGTGTTGTCAACGAATAGGCATCGTAATGTACTAAAGGAAACGACCAACTTTAGGCGCGCCTTTGTGAAGAGCGCACCGTATGACTCTCGGCCCATCGCCTAGATCAACATGCGCTGCGGCGGCCCGCCTGTGCTTGGTAAGAGCTGCAAACGGCCGGCTGTATTTATTTATTTTTGCGAGAACATTTTGCGAGGTGCCATGGGAGTTTTTTTTGAAACTTTAAATATTTGCGAGGGACCCCTTCGAGTTGTTTTTGACACTTTGCGAGGTCCCAAACAATTAATTATTTATTCGCAAAAAGATTGCGTCAATACGGTACCACGGAGACTTATCGGAGCTGGGAACAATCCTCCCAGCATGAGCAAGATCCAAGTCCAACACATCATCCCTTTCCCCCCCAAACCCCCAAAACCCCAAACCCCGTTCGGGAAATAGGGTATAAGTTTTCCTGATCTGATCTGTGATGTCGACTATTCCGTCAAACCGCTGCTGCTGCTGCTGCTGCTTCTGTAGCCGTTGCTGCAGCCACCACCGCCGCCCCTGCGTCTGCTGCACCTGCTGGTACTACTGCTGCTCGTACTACTGCTGGTACTGCTGCTGCGTCAGGGTTAATACCATCAGGTCGTCCCGAAAGCGATGTGGAAGTTGACGGCGGAGGAAGAGGATGGGCTGCTGTTGCTGTATCCCCGTACGACACCCACAGGGGTGGCGGAGGCCGCCTCCGCCGTCGCCAACGTTGGCGTCGGTGTCGACGTCGATGACTCCCCTTCCGCTGCCGCCGCCGCTGCCGCCATTCCTCTTGAGGGGGAAGAGGACGACGACGTCGGCACTCCGCCTCCGACACTGCCTCCGACATCCCCCGCTCCGGAACTGTCCAGACACAGCCGATCCAGATTCTAATAACCAGTTGTCGGTTGGAAGTCACGGGGGGAAGAGCAGGGGGGTGAAACGGACTATCTTCTTAAGACGAAAAAGCGAATCCCACCAGACAGACGGACAGGCAGACAGACAGACGTGACCTGGTCACACGGCTGCGACATGACCCTGTACCCTGAACCCCCCGACGGGGCTTCAAACGGAGACCGGAAAGGGGCCGACGAAAAGGATGTGAAGCGCGAAAGACTGAGTTTGCCACTGCGGCAGTCGGCAACACATCAGCTGACGGGGGGGGGGCAATCCTGAGCTCCCCACCCCGCGGTGAGTTGATCTTGATCTCTAACCCTCCCCCTCCCCCCCCTCGTGATTCGTCTTCCCCTCTTCCCCCCCAACACACACACACACACATGCCGAGAGGTATAATTCAGGCAACCGGAGGGGCAGCAAATGGGTGCCGGTGGGTTGGATGGGATGAGGGGGAGGGGTAAACCGGAAACAGATGGACGGGGCGGGGAGGGGGGAAGGAATGAAGGTGGTTGACGGTTGTGACGGTTGTGGCGGGAGGTAAGTGGGAGTTCGAGGAGAAATAAAAGTGTGCACAGCGGAAGAGGGATCCGACTGCATCTCGCCGCAGTGAGGCTGAAGGCCCCAAAGAATTACGCACACACACAGACACACAAACACACACAATCCAAATCACTCTGGACAAGAGCATTTCGTCCTGACCTGGCTCTCTCGCAACATCGCGTTTACGATGTTTTCCAGCTTGTTAACCAACTTCTCCAGGGCTAGAATGCTGTACGGCAGTACGGTTTGCACGTGTGCACGGAAATGGAAGGCGGGGGGTGGGGGATGGGGCAGGGGGATCAGCCGAGAGCTCAGAGGCAGGCTGTGAGATGCGCTTCTGGGTAGAGGTAAGATACGTACGGCTATGAAACATTGTTCGTACATTGGGTTTGCCATGACGGAGGCTGACGTGGAGCGAAGGTGGTGGTCATGGATGGCGGAAATGGACGAGAGCACCCTACGGAGGAACCTAAAGCCAAAAAATAATTTGAAATTCCTTTCGTAACCCCGCAGCTCTAACGACCCATCGCTGCAAATCCCGCCAACAGCAACTGTCCATTCGCCTCTCTGCCTGATATCTGTCAGTACGTCTGTCAGTACGTCTGTCTGCGTGTCCTGCCCACACTTATTCGGTCCATTGGCCCCTTAAAACCGTTACAAGACCCGCACCTGAAAGGCTCCTGCGTTAAGGTTAAGGTTTAGTGCCGTACCGCCGTACAGGAGAGCGCCACACACACACATGTGTGTGTTGGGGTTGCAAAAGGTGTTTTCGAGAAGAGGGGGACGGGGGGGGGCAGCGGAGCCGGGGCCGGTTTCGGAGAGCATTCCGTATGTCATGGGGGCCAGAATGTACGAGAGTAAGGATCTCGGAAAGTGGGAGCAAGGCCAAACCCAGCTGCAAGACACGCACACGCTATACCAAGCACACACACAAGCACACACAAGCACGCAAGCACACGCACGCATACCTCGATATAAACCCCGATTTCCTCAATCCCCAGCAACACGAAGGCGACCAGGGCCGCGATGGGGACCTGCGGCAGGCGGGTGGGGGGGGTTGGGGGGTTATAGGTGATTGGGTGGGGGGGAGAGGGGAAGACGAACCACGAGCGAGGGAGGAAAGGGGGGGAGGAGAGGGGGAAAACTGCCAGCAGGAGGAGGGGGAGAAGCTTCCCTCAAGGACATCGGTCGGCTGGTGGACCGCGACCGAGCAAGACTGATATCTAAAATCTCATCACAATGCTGTTGGTGTTACTTTAAATCATGCTGTATCATAGTTGTGCTGCTGATGTAAAACAAATACCCTCACACACGGCCGGTCAGCATCTGACTGCTGTTAAGATTTCCCCTTTACCACGTCCCTCTCGCTGTCCATCGTTCACAGCCATTTATAGTGTCACATCCGTACTAGTGCCGTACACCATACTGCCGTACACCCGTACTGCCGTACGCACCATTGCCAATCCACAGTAGCTCCAAAGGCAAAAGGGCAAGCACACCAACCAGGCCATCAAGAAGCGGGCGGTGTGGCGAGTGTACGACAGGGGGATAGGAGTGTTTAGGATCCGCTCGCAGGCGGATACGGCGTCAGTGAGCCGGGAGACGTTCTCGTCCATTCGGATGACCAGCTCCTGGGGTGTGGGTGTGTGACGGGTTTTAGGTGGGCAGGCGCCAGAGGGGGGTTAGGTTTCCATGCAGATGATGGAACACGGGGCCACGAGAGAGCGTACGCAGGAGGATTCGTTTTCCCAAATGCAAAATGTTATATACTTTTTTGCAGTACTAGTACTCGTTTCCGGTCACGCGGTGACGCGCGTTGAAGTGTAACGTCCCTAAGCCCTAAAACCCCTCTACTCCCCTCCACTCCCCTCCCGCCCTCCACTCCCCTCCCGCCCTCCACTCCCCACCCCACCCCAGGCAAGGCAAGTCCGTCAGGCTTCCTGCTACTCCGGGGACTGCCCTGTCCCTCCGTTCCCTGCCTCACCACACATGAAAAGATAACCTTAACACACACACACACACACGTTTTCCCCGCTGTCCCACCGCCCCCCGCCACCGCGACCCCCAACACCCAGCCCATCCCTTCATGTACCTGCGGCAGACCCGCCGTACGAATTGTCCAAGTGATCATCTGCAGAAAGGAAATCGGGGCCAGAAAGTGCATCGGATCCAGAATCGGATCTAGAAAGCGCATCCAGAAGCCTAGATCCAACCAAAAGATAACAGATCAAAAGAAGTACCTATCACGCCCGCAGTCACCACCACCCCACCTCTCCCACCCCACCCACCTGCAAACAGAAGCTAGGCGCATGGATAGAGGAGGTGACCGCATCAATTTCCTGCACGGGAAAACGATTTGCCGGAATCACCAAAAGTAAGGTACAAAAGCTCCCCCGTGTCGAGGGCCCCAGGGAGAGGGGGAAGAGGTGGTCAAGGTCCCCAAGACCCGCACGCGGGGGGCTGTTGTGCCCCGGGGGCCTGGGGGCGTGGCGAAAACCCTACAGCCCTTCCCCCCCCTCCAGGTCACCTTCTTAAAAACTTAAGGCCTGGCCCCCCTCCCCACGCTGCACTTCAAGAACGCCTACTGGTCAATCCTGCTTCTTGTACACTCTTTCCTTGGCAGCAGCTTCACTCGCTCACGTGGTTCGTCGTCTTTCCCCCGCTCCACTCCACCCCCAGTGTCCCCGCCTCTTCCTCCCCCTACCCCCCCCCCCCCGCCAGCAACTCTGGCCTCTCCGCTACCTGCGGCTTCAAGACGCCCTTCAGCTCCTCCTGCGGTTCAAGGTACGGCGGAGAAGGGCGTTGGGGGTTAAACTGGGTTTGAGAGAATTATAATTTTCATGGCGTGGACGAGTGTACGGAAGTGGATGTAGAAAATCCGCAGCAATGAGTTTTTAATTTGGGTTCTACAAAGGGGAAGGACACCGTAACCGAAAGCCACAAACCCAAGGCTGCACGAGCACGCGTACACAGCCGTACATGGGCCCCGGCCAGGCGCCCGGAGGCCACTGTTATCCCCCTCCCACACCCTGAGGGACATCGGTTGTTGACGGTTTTGGGTGTTGGCAGTTGGTAGTTAGACTTATCACACAAGCCCCAAGCGAGCAAATATGGAGTGGTACTGACTGGCATGTATAACAGATATACATACATACATTCCTACAGTACACAAGCACGCACATACGTACGTGCAACTGTAACGGCCACGAGGCCATCCGTACATCCGTACACACCTGCATGCCATGTTCCTCCCTCAGGTGCACCATAGTCACCCTGCCTAACGCGACCAACCACCTTCCCAACCGAGAGCGGTTGGTCATGTCATCCGTACGGAACCACGCAAACGCCTGTCGTACGGTGCGTGTGTGGGGGGAAATGCCGGGGGAAGAAATTATGTGCGGTGGGGGGGGGGGGAGGGGAAGAGAGGACAGGAGGAGAGGGCGGGGTGGACTTAAGAGTGTCAAGGTGTGGTGATGCGGGAACCCCAACTGAAACCAGACAACCGTTACGTTAACGGCGTCAACGCAATCGCGAACCGACATTGGCAAAAGGAGTATTCCTGTAACGGGTCCATTTTCACGTCACTGACTGCCGGCTCCGGCACTGACTGCGCAGCCCGTCCAACAGCAGATGAACTTTCGTTTATGGCGGTTGGTCCTCTACTCCGGCGGATGGTGGTCCTCTATTTCCGCAAAAGCAAGTCGGCTTCGGGAACTCCATATTTCTGAATTCTCGACGCGGGTTTCACGATATTTACACGATCCGAAAAGTGCTCCTTAAAGCGTTTGCCGATGTCTGGTCGCGAATACCCCCACGAGAGCGGCCCGGGGGCCGGGGGGGGGATTTCATGCACCTGCCGGGGATATAATGCTAATGGTGGGCGAGTTGGGGTGTTACTAATACAACCTGTGAGAGAGCTGCAGCAGCCCGCTTGTAGAGGGTATCAAAGACCTAACCACCGGCTTTACGACACACACTGTAACATCAGCTGATTCGTGCGTTGCATTTCACCATTCCCCTCCTTCCTTCCCACCCGCCCCCATTGCTCTCGGTCTAACCCGGCTTCCTCAACTTCGTACACGAATAGCTCCCATCTCCCTGCTGTCGTACACCTCCCACTGCGTTTCCGCATATGAGAGCCTCGGCTTCCACCCCCACAGCCGCCCCCGTGCCTACCTACCTACCTACCCGCCTACCTGCCTGGCTATGTCCCGACTGACGGTGGTGATACTGCCGAAGCTACGGCGGCCCTCGTCCCAACGGCTGTAGCTGGCGTTGGTACGAAATACCTTTTCCATGTCGTAAAACAAAACAGGAAGGGAAAGAGGGGCGCAAGGAAAACGGCGACAAGTAAGGAGCCTGGGATGACGGGGTTTCGGAGGGGTTTCGGAGCTTTCATGTCTTACACCGGTGAGCATGTGCTGGGGTAGGGGTCGGGTCAGGTGGTTGTGTTCGGTTGGCGGGGGAGTGAAGGGCTCCGTGTGTAAGGAAGATGTAGATGCCCCCAGCTCTCTTAATCCGTTTTTCCCCTTCCCCCCAACAGCAATGGCAAGGCAAGTTCCAGCTCACGCCTCACACCCCACCATTCTCTCTGCCCAACCCCACCATCGTGCCCTTCTCCCCGCACAATCACAACCTGTTTTTCTCCGCCATTGGGAGCTCCAGCACATAGTCACCGTAGCACAACTTATCCCATCCACACCCTACCCCTCCTTGCCCTTCGATCCCCAAAAATGTTCCGCCTCCTCTTAACCCCCAACTTCCTGGGCCCCGTCCTCGCACCCCCTCCCCTCCCCTCCCCTACCAGCAGCAGTGACAGAGCGATGCTGGTCAGCTGTATGGGTTCGATGGCGATGTTGGGCAATGGCGGCAGCCAGGCGGGCAGCATGCGGGCAGCATGCGCGACGTTGAGTGCAGCGACAACTGGGCCGGGGTGGGGAAGGGGAAAAGGGGAGATTGAGGAAAAGACGAAAGGAGAGGAGGAGGTTGGGGGGACGGGGGACGAAGGAATTGATTTCTTTCGGGTACACGCGCCACCACGTCACATTTAAATGATTGATCAGATGCGCCTTTCTTTTAGTCCAGAACTTGACTGATAAAGCCAAGTGATATGATAATCGTAAATAAAATTAGCCGTCGCGCCGGCCGCTAATAACCGTTTCGTTTGGGAGCGTTTACACTGCCAGTGTCATGGCAAACCCTTGCTGGCAGCCCGGCAGGGGCCCGGACCTGGACCATCAGGACCGGTGCCGTACACTTTCAGACTACATATACTTTTCAATTCACAAAATTAACGTGCTTCGGCACAAATGTTAAAATTGGAAAAATACAGAGAAGATTAGCATGGCCCCTGCGCAAGGATGACACGCACAAATCGAGAAATGGTTCCAAATTTTTTGGAAAAATCGCCGGTTCGATCCCGATACGAGCCCATGTTTCGCTGTCTTTTCATGCAAATCAAAGCCCGAATAACTGAAGAGGCAATTATTTAGGCTGCTCCTGTTCGGGTCTACATTATCATCAAAAATTAGAAACAGTAGAAAACTAGCAGTCGCACGAATATCCAAGCGACCAGTCCATTCAGCCAAGATTAATCCGGGAGTTTCTGTTCCAGGAGTTACGCATATACGGACGTTGCGACACCGGACAAGCTGAGAATACATAACGTGATGTCATGTTTTATCGTCCTTCCGCATCCCGCTGTGCCAAGAGGCACCGAAACCATGCTATTGCTGTACGGACTCTGGTTCTCTCCTGCCATAAAGCACCGCCTACCATACAGCAGCGTCATACCTGCCGTGAAGGCCGTGACAAATAGTACGGGTGCAGCGATGCCTCGTACAATACCCGACCTGAACCGGCCGGTTCCGTACATGTGTCCGTACAGTTCGTGCGATGAAAGTAGGACAAGCGCGTGGTGTACCACGCGGTTGCGGAGGGTAAGCGGGATGGCAGAAGGGGAGAAGTTGAAAAATGCTTTCGCAAGATTGGCTAAGTGGCGATGGAGGGCCAGATAGGGGTAAACACGACGGGGGGAGATATCGGAAGATGTCACGGCAGAGGTAACGGATTGGAAGCCGGTGACGAAGGCGACGGCGCTAGTTGGGAGATTCCCTGCCCATCAAGCGAGCTCTTGATCCTAGAGCACCACGCGCCCAACCGCCTTGCAACACACCGCCCTCCCGCTTCCAACCCTACCCCCACGATCCGCCACTCAGCTCGTCCCCTTTAGCTTCATCAATCCGGATCCCCAACCAAGAGATAGGTGTAGCCTCCTCGTCCACTTTCACCTAGGCAAACCCTTGGTCCCCATTACCAGCTGCTGTATGTCTCCGTTGCGCTCACCCGCAATACCGTGACCATACTCCCAAGGCACGGTACTTATTCCCTCTCAACCCCGCACATATACCACTCACTCTGATAGCGTTTTTAAGTGGTACAAGTAGCGGTTGCTGCTGCGATGTCGTTTCCAGTCATCAAAGGTGAAGGTCTGACAGGGAATGTTGGGGGGAAGGTGCGCGGGAAGGTCAAAAAGATGCTTTTGGACATCGCCACTGGGTGACGTCCCCGCAGCGACCGCTATCAGTGCACCAGGGTTCCGAACATCAGCCGCCCCTCGCAGCGCTGAGGCGCACAATATCGAGCATAGGAAAATCTGTTGATGGACTAAGACAGCGTAGCAGGACCTGCGCTGGGTTTAACATCAGAGGTGCTTCCGGTCCGAGGGTTCAATGCTGAGACGCGCACCATGCGGCGCGCCTGGCGATTGTCCTCTTTAAAGCTGTCAAACTTTACTGTATCGCGGTAGTTTTCATATAGGCTCGGAGAGACCCCACCGGCAGCGCAAGTCCGAAAGCTCGCATCGCTAGCCAAACGCCTTGTGCTAAAATGGGTCATCTGCTTCACCCATGGGCAACTACAATGTAAGGCGCGACTCCCTACATTTGCTTTCATCGACGGTAACCCTTTCATTTGGTTTTAGGGCAAAATCTCTAGTTAGCCAGATGACCGCAGGATACGTTGATCGTAGGATTCCTAACAGGTAGAAATGACATGCATGTTTCAGCTACATAATGTATAAGCATCGTGTTGCGGGTTAGCAGGTAGGCCCAATCGACCGTTGTCAGTTTGCACGGCGGATGCTCGTGTTATACTCACCACGCATACCAGAGCGGAAGTGCAGACGGAATAAGCCACAAAGTCAGTACTCATCTTAGTAGATTGCTGAATTCAATCCTTATTCAAAGCTAAGCAGGTGCGCGGGGCTTTAAGTAACCGGCAAATCGTAGCAGAGCGCAATTATGTTCAAGGCGAACCTATTGGATGTTATGGCAAGTAAAACCAGTGCATCATGAGGCAGAAGCCAGTACCCTTCTACCTGCTTTATATTTGCCAGGCCTTGCTTATGTACCAATCGGCGAGAGACGGGAAGTATATGCAACCCCCCCCGGCCGGACACCTGAAGGATTCGCCTCCCTGTAAATACCCGGAATACGCATCGTGCGATAAGAAGCGTAACTTAATCCTGCATTACGTCCTTCAATCGGGGCCTCAGGCAGGAGGTGGCAAGGGCATCCGATTTTTTTGAGCCATCACGATGATCCATCAACACTTTCCGCGAAATTAATACAGCAGCACTTAGGCACGGCGACGGCAACATACAGCCCTATTTAACAGAGGTATACAGCCAGACATGAGGCATAGATCCTTTGCAGCAAAGCAAACGATCGAGTTCAGCAAATCTTTCGGAAGGCCTCCCGAAAGGTGCACGTAGGGTGAAGTTCCTGGACATTTTAATCCCAGGGTTTTAGTCCCAGGTGAACGTAAACAGTTTCCCGCCAAGACCGTCTGCCGTGGGGCCCCACGCTACAGCTTCGGGTTAACATGGACGCGATGGATCATCATACAAACGCTGCGTATGTTGCTGCATTACGACAAAGCGCATGCACAACACGCGAGAATGAGAGTCAGCAAGCTATGCATGAACGACCTGCATCCATCCACCAAGACGCATTACACCACATCCACCTTAAAGACATCACCACACTCATACACCACACATTCAAGATATCACGCCGGTTTGGCTGGAAAGCGCTGCCTGCTGGGGAGGTGGAGCGACAGGACCGGCAGATTGTACTCCTCTAGCCCACAAAGCTTCACCACAAAGCTTCACCACAAAGCTTTATCCATAGGCGGCGATCAATCTTACACTGAAATGTCATCGCATCACCCCTATTGGAACGCCCCCTAACCACCCCACATTCATGATCAAAGCAGACAGACCTGCAAAGTGCAATTATCTTCTCTTTGTTTACCAAGGTCACCAACCAACACCCTTGGCTAGTGCGGCCGACATATGTATTTCTTAGAAAGCTAAGCATTGCTCTGATCACCTGCAAAGAAAGAACACGCACGCGACATCAGAAGCCGCAGACATGAATGACGCTCATCACCATTAGGGAAGCAGCTAAATGGGTTTTCCTTGCTCGCCCTTGTTACATACCACGGCGCGGGCGGCCCTTGCCAGCGCCGTCCTCGCCACCCGCCTTGGGCTTTCCGCCGCGGTCACGAGCGCCGCCGCCTTTACCCTTTTTGCCTGCGTCCGCCTTGCGATCCTCCTCGTCAACTTCGCGTTCCACACCCCGTTGCGCGCCTGCTTCTGCCTCAGTATCCTGTGCTGTGCGCTTGGCAGGCCTGCCGCGCTTGGCACCCTGGCCTGCAGCAGGTTCCTGCGCCTGCTGCGGCACAATCTCCTCCTTCGACCCCTCCTGATTAGCTGCCGCATCCTGCTGCACGTCTGCCGCGGCTGTTGCACCGCGTGCTGCAGCGAGACGGCCCTTGCGCTTCAGGTTAGCTGACTTACCGCCCCCGCCAGCAGTTGGAGCGGTGACCGGCGCCTCGGCGGGATCTGTGGCAGGAGCTGGGACAGGAGCTGCGTAGGCAGGCTTGGAGGGCGCTGGCGCTTCCACGGGCTCCGCTGGCGCTGCAATCGCCTTGACAGCCTTGCGGCCCCGCCTGGGTGCCTGGAGGGAGGTGGGAGAAGATCAGATGAAGCGTAACCAATACGCATCGACAGCTTCACAAATCATGATGGTTTCGAAGGGAAGACGAGGATGTGCGCTTAAGTGCACTGCGAACAAGAGACACAGGAAAACGCCTTACAGACACCAAATAGATGCACCCATGCACGCTGATCGCTGCTGCCAACAAGTGGCATTTCGATAAAGTTCCCGAAACGCACCTCCCGGGGGGAAGCATATAAGTTTGCTGCTGTCCAACGCAATCAACCGCATCAGGCACGCTCTTACCTCATCCTGCACAGCCACTATTTAATGGTCATCATGGGACACTCGTACACTCATGCGTCGACCCACCGAAGACTTTCACCCGCTAGCAACCCCCCCCCGACATGCTGGTCAGCGCATCAGCAAACGAGGAGCCACTTCGGCTTACCGGTTCCTCGTCGCGCTGTTCCTCCGTAACCACCTGCTGTTGCTTCTCAGCATCCATCTGGTCCGTGTTCTCCTCCTCTTTCTCCTCCACTGCCTTGGCCTTGGCAGCAACCTTTCCCCGGCCCTTGCGACCTTCGGCAGGGGCCGCTGGCTTGGCATCTGCGGTGCAGTAGGTGACATGACAGCCGATAACATAAAAAGTGTCGACGGATGGGAGTTACGCCGAATGAATATGGTGTGCAAGAAAATAGTTTGGCTGGACTAACTATTCGATCCGATACATCTTGGTGCCGCACATCACCAGCACCTCGGGTGTCATGTTCAAATCAAAAAGCCCACAAGAACAGTCATAATGGCAAAACCCAAGGGATCGTACTCGTTTTCTTAACTGCTAAAAGGAAACTCGACACGCCCAAATCTGGGGAACATAGCCCAGGTGACGCAAAGCTACTGATTTCTCCAGCGCACCAACTGTCGAGCCCAGCAAACCCATTGCAGATGTCACGTACCCGCCTCTGCGGCGGCTGTCCCTGCAGCCGCTTTGGATGAGGCCCTTCCACGCCCGCGAGCAGCCGGCTGCTCCTGCTTCGCGCCCAGCGCCTCGTGCTCCTCCTCCTGCGGCTCTGCCTTGGACGCTTTGGAAGGATACTTTCCACGCCCACGCGCAGCCGGTGCCGGCTGCTCCTGCTTGGCCTCTGGCGCTTCGTGCTCCACCTCCGGCGGCTCCGCTTCCTCTGCCTGATCGTCGCTGTCAGCCTGCCGCCGGCGCTTATTGTCGCCGTCACCACGGCGCGCAGCTACGGCTGGAGGTGCCTTCTTTGTTGCCGCCACTTTCTTTGGCGCCGCTGCCTTCTTGGGTTTGGCACTCGGCTTGGCAGAAGGGGCCGGCGGCGGCTTGGAGGCCTTGCGCTTGGACAGCTGCTGTTGCTTCTTTTTGGCAGGCGCCGGCTCCTCTTCTTCCTCCACCTCGTCGTCATCACTGGCAGGAATCATATCTTCGTCCTCATCCGTGCCGGTCATGACAATATCCTGTTCACTGCCAGAGTTGATGTCAGATTCTTCATCGCCCTGATCCTCCTCATCACTTTCTTCTTCCTCATCCTTAGCGCTTTTTTGTTGGCGCTTGGACGGCTTCTTAGCGGCGGCGGCAGACTGCTTCGCCCCGGCCGACCTCTTGGCCGCACCACGTTTCTTGGGCATGTCGGCAGGCTCCTCATCATCATCCGTCGCCGCCTTCGCTGCTGCATGGTCGTCATCCAGCAACTTCTTCTTCTTAGTGGCTGCAGCCGCTTGCCGGGCCGACGGCGCACGCCGCTTATCTCCGATGGCTGCTTCAGCTGCACCGGCATCATTCCCCTCGCCTGCCTCGACCCCCTCGCCCGCATTCATGCCCTCTCCCAGCAGCTCCCGTCGCTGCCGCTCAGCCCAGCGCAGGGGCGCCCGGCTGACCTTGGCGGACTTTGCGCCACCATCAGGCTTTGCGGCTCCCTTCTTGCCTGCAATCTCGGTCTTCTTGGCGCCCTTGCCGCTGCCATTCTCTGCATCGTCGTCCTCTGCAGCATCTGCGCCTTCATTTGCATCGATGGCAGCGGGAATACTGGTGCCCGCATCCGCTGCAACAGCTTCCAACGCCTTCTTGTTGGTCTTCTTTCCCTTGGAAGCTGCTGCCTTCCCCCTGCCTTTTCCCTGGCCGTCGCCAGCCGCAACATCCCCTGCCGCTTCAGCAGGGCCGTTCTCTTGCTGGTCGCCATCCTCGCCGTTGGCATCGGCACCAACAGCGTCGCCATTCTCGCTGGCTGCGACCCCTTTCTTGCCTCGCTTGTTGCCACCGCCGCTGGCCTCTTTCCAGGACTTCATCTCAGTGCGATAGCGCTCCTTGTCAGCTACGACAACATGAACAAATGCACGACACGCCGGTCACACTTAGCGCGCTGACAGCCATAAGCATCTCGACCACATGGTTGAGACCAAAGGACTCAATTTATCCAAATGTATGGAATGGATGTCATGATGACCCAAATGTAACATACGTAAAGACCCAGTTGGTAGGCAAGGGGAAAAGATCGGGGTTAACGGTGGACAGTCGATGATGGAGGGACCCGGTGGAGACGCACCGCCGTGCTGGCCGTACCGCTGCTCGTAAGAACTGGAAATCCGGCAGCATCTGCTCTACAGGTTGACGTCTACAACCCCAGATAGGGACTGTCACTTATACAAGCAGGCAACAACTGCTTAAGCCCCACTACCACGGACTAACCTGCCGCCTGTTCTTCGTACATTCGGCGCTCAGTTGCCTCCATGGAACCCCAACGCTTCGTGTATTCAGACTTCAGGGCGGTCCGCATTCGCCGGAGCTCCGCGCCGTCCGAAGCTAGGTCAGGCTCCGCCTGGAGCGTCTTCTGGACTGCCTCCTCTACCATGAAGTCAACGGGCCCGCGGCATGGCTGGGGACCAGCGGCGGTATCGTTTTCACGCTGCTGCTTCTTGGTGTCAGGAGCAGCACCCCCACGCTTCCAGCTGGTGCCAGCCGCCCAGTCTGCGTGTGAGGATAAATTCCAAGAACTGGGTAAGCCTAAAAATCTAATTGCACTATCCAATGATCATAGTTGTTACCGTTGCGCAGCACTTTGTATGTTAACGCGAGCCAGGAACGGACCTGCCAGGAACCGAAGCTCGCACCAAGTACATCAGGGTTTGTCCATCAAGATTTAATTGAGGTACTAATATTTCCCAGGTGCAAGAAGCAAGGACGTCGAAGGTATAGCTGTCAGTTCTAAATTTGGCGCGCAAAACACCCCGGCCAACATACTTCACGCAAGCTGCTCCCAAAGCAGAGATAACTTAACAAACAGTATTGCGTACTTAGCGGCATAAGCGCCTTCTTGGGCTCCGGCTGCGGCGCATCCTCGCCGAAGAACGCCTTCGCGGAGAGCTTCGCAGGTTGCTTGGCGGCCGCTCGCTCATCTCTCTCAGTCAAGACTGCGTAGGGGGTCTCCTGCACAGAATCCTTAAGGGCTGGCGCCTTGCTCTTGCTCTTGCTCTTGGGGTTGACCATGGCTGGAGCTTACTGACAAATACCGTGGCATGCGTGACCCGCCAGAAATGTATGGGGTGCTGGAAGCGTAAATACTTTTTGCTTTCTGTATCGGAAAGAAATGTTCATGTGTTCCGGGAGTTTTGCACCTTGGCAGCTTGGCGCTTGGTTGTCGTTGTACGACATCTGGAGGTACAACTCTTGATTTTTCGGGCTATCGCAACCCGCAAAACAATATCTATTGACTTGGCGACACGTATGGCTGCTTACGAATTATTAATAAAGCCTTATGACGGCAAGGAACTCGTGTCGCTCCGTTTGATTTGGACAACATCTCCACAGCAGTCTTACGTAACGCAGAATTAAGTCGCTACAACTGCGTCCTTTGAATAAATAATGAACGATCAATTCCGAGCGGCTGTCGCAGCTGTTTACGGCAACGACCCTGCGCAGCGACAAGCCGCAAATTTATGGCTAGATGGCTTTTCCAAAACCCCTGAGGCATGGGGTTGTGCGTTGGCTCTATTGGAGTCTACAAGTGGCGCATCGGTAGAGCAGCGATTCTTCGCAGCCAACTTGTTGGCGTCGAAGACGAGAAGTGACTGGGGTGGTCTTAACCCACAGCATCGGTCCCAGCTGGCAGATGCATTTGGGTGAGGCTTCCTGGAAACGTTCTTTGGGGTGACGGTATCAGAGAGCTGTGCAGAATCGTTTTTCACCAAGGTTTCTGGGCAACACTTTTTGGAAACACCGAAGTCAGGCATTAACCGTCCCCGCACGATGACGAGGACGCGTTAACCCTTTCTCTGCTTACACGCACGAAGGCTAAACTTATATAGCACTCTCCACGCCAAAAAATACATTCTCTCGCAAACACATCTCCCATGTGTCCACTCCCATGCCTCCCCGGCACCTCTCCTGGTTCTCTCCTGCGCCGCCCTCTCCTCTTCGTGTTCAAACGTTACAAATGAAACCCACACGGGACCCCTCTTTTTTCCTCCACTGCGTCCCATGCCCCTCGGCCCGCCCCCAGAGCCCTCCTACGCGGCATGCTCCTAGCCCCAGCGGGGACCTCCAGCCCCGCCGCTGCCGCCTTCCCGCCCTTTTCCCTGGAGCCCCCGCCCCTCCTGGAGCGAGTGGCTCGACTGGCTGCCACTGCAGCGGCGCTGGGTGGCCCCGTCGCAGCGGGGCGGCATATGTCATTAGCGCAGGAGCTGGCTGCAGCGGCGGAGGCTGACAGGGTAGGTTAGGAAAGCAGACCAGGAGGCGTGTGTTTTGTGGATTAGCCACGTACCCATGGGGATTAGCCGTAAATTATTTTTGTGCAAAAAATGGACGGATGATCGCTTATGGCCCATGGGACAAGAGAGCTGACGCTACAACACTGACACCGCTGCTGCCGCGGACGTCTCGTTCCATCGGACCGCTGAGTTCTTCGTCAACTTCCTGGCATATGACCAGCAGGGCATATTGTCGGGGGCCCTTTCCCGCGTTTCGGTGCTCTCAGGCTCGATGGGGAAAGGAAAAGGGGAGAGACGGGTGGCCGGGAGAAGCTCGACTGGCTATACTAGCTTCGGCTCTGTTCGAGCCGCCATTTTTTTTAAAACACCATAGAAGTCTCCGTTGAGTGGGGCGAGGGACGTACAGGAGTAGCACGCAAGAAAGTCATGGTGCAAACACCCCACATAAACACAAACGACAGGTGACGCCGTTCCCGTGTCCTTATCTTATTTCGGTTACACTTCCCTTTCTGACCCATTTTCCTGAACCCGTTCCTGTCCCTTCTGCCCCTCCTCGAAACCCTTCCAGACGGGGGATGAGGCGCTGCTCCGCTGCAGCCTGTTGGTGCTTCAGCTGCTAGCAGAGGAGGCGGAAGCTCTGGACAGGTAAAGGGATAGGGGTGTGAAGGGTGGCTGTCTGACGGAGGGTTATGGGGGTGGCAACGCAACCCCGGGAGAGGGAGGGACAGGTAGGAGTCACAGAAGAAGGGGGGAAAGAGGGCAGCAGCCGGCGAAGTGAGACCGAACCGGCGTGAGGCAGCTTGGAGGGGAAGACGAACCACAAACGAGTGATGCGGGTACCACAGATAGGCGATTGGTTGGGGGATATCGTGGGGCTGTGGCGCTGGCGCGTGGGCCGGCGGCATTGCTCGGCCTGGTGAAGGGCGATGGGGGCATGCATGAGCAGGGTGTAATGAATAGCCAGCAACACTTCGCCGAGGGCAAGACGCCGACGGCGAGACGCCTGGTTTCGTGTTCGTGATGACGAGATATGAGGTCATATGGAGTGCATGAGCAGGTAGATTGGGGCGGGTACCGAACCCTTAGGTAGGCATGAGCGCATGATAAAGGAGATGGAGAGCAGAGCGCCTTGTGGACCACCTCTTCGTCACCAGTCTACACCCCGCCTTCCCCCACCCATACCATCCATTATCATCCACCACAGCCATGCTGAACCTCGCGGTCCGTCTTTGGCCCCTCCATACGCCTGAGTCGCCTCTGCATGCTCGCATGCTGCGGCAATCATACGGAGCTCATCATATCCTGCTCCGTTTTCCCTTCACACACCGCGCGTTTTCCCGTTCGCGCGCTCTTGCTGTCCTGACGACAGTGTCCGTCGTAAGGCCCTGATGTCCGGGTCCGGCGGTGGGGCTGCGGGCGGTGGCCTCGCTTCCCAGCGAGCGGGTGTGGTGGCGTCAGTGCGAGGCGTAATGGCGACAGCGACGGGTAGGTGGCAGGGCAGGGCAATATGGGGCCGGTAACCTATGGCCAGGACGGGACAGAGGGCCCGCAGCAGCTTATCGCCAGATGTCACTGGTCGGCTTTAGGCTTCATATGCGAGGAATGAATGAACCTCCAGGATTTTTTAAGGCCTTGGGGAAATTGGCTCAGGTGGGGAAGTGAGAAGAGGGAAGGCGGGGGGGGAAGTGAGAAGAAACGTGTGGAAATAGGGGAAGGCGAGGGGTATTGAGTGTATCGAGGGGGATGAGGGTGAGGAGTGAGGGCCGGGGGCGGGTTGCGTCAATGTGCAGGCTTAGGAAGGGGAAAGGAGGTGCTGATGCGGCTACGGTGGCGGGGTGGTGCCGTTGTTTATATCGTACCAGGCAGTGCCGACTGCGGAGGATTTAGGCAAAGACTCCTCATGCTCGTACATTGGAGTCGGCAGTTGATTCTTTTTTTTCGTGCATATGACTCTCCCCATGATTCGTGGCTTTGGGTGTCGGTAGTTGAATTTTGCATCTTGCGTATGGCTTCCGCTCGCACTTTACCCACCTCTATAAATAAGAGTTATTTTTATTTATTTTTATTTTTTGTTTTTATTTTTTATCTGTAAATAAAAGTAATTTTTTTCCAAGCTTATGCCACCTCTTTTTCCTTCAACTCTCGTCAGCTTACGGTATTCCTTGCTTTTCACCGCCTTTTCACCGCCTTAACCTGACTCTGTCAGTCCCCATGGCCCCCTAGATGGCCTTTACCACTCACCGCCTTAACACTTACCTTTAGAACATTACGGATGGTTGTTCCTGCTTTCTTTCTGTTTTTTATTTTAGTGCTGGCGGCTAGGTAGGTAGTTTTCCGCTATCGTCATGACTACTAACATCATCGCTAAGACTTCTTCTTCACACGCCCCGACTGGTTAGTTATGACTTATCCTTTACTTCTGGCGTATCAGTTTATCCTTGGCATCAACTTCACTCGTTCACGAGGTTCGTCTCTTCCCCCCCTCACCTCACCTCCATTATCCCCCCAAACCCCCACACGTCTCCCCCCTTCCTTTTCTTTCCTTTCCTCTCCTTTTCTTTCCACATGCCACATGCGTTTGCGTGCTGCCGCAGGGTCCGGTGCTGCGGCGGGGGCTGGTCACTGGGGTGGTGGCGGCAGCCCCAGCAGCGTCAGCTTTCCGCTGCTCCTGAGTGCCTTACGGTGTCTATCGGCCTGGGTACGACTGGACGAAAGCGGATGTGCGGATGGTGGCATGTCGCCCGGGGAACTCCAAGTAAGTGAGGCGCTAAGTCGGGTTTTATAGTGTGGTGAAAAGGTAAACACACTAATATTCTTTCCTTTTTCATGGTTGTGTGTCTGATGTGGTCACGTGACCGCAAGGTGCTTCGGGTTACGTCATGGTTGCGTCGTCGTGTGTGTTCGCATTCTGCAGCATCTCCCCTAAGCACCGTAATGAAGGCTGTCTGAGCATGATAAGCGAGAGCTGATTATGCTCCCGGTAAGGTAAGAGTGCAGCGAAAGGGAATGGGGAAGAAAGGGAAAGTGTTGATTGCTCCATAGTGAAAGGCAGGAAGGAAAGAAGTCTGTCAGCACTTGTAAAAACACACACACATACACGCACGCACAAACCATACACGCACGCACAAACCACACACACAAACCACACACGCACGCACACACAGAGGTGGTCTCACCTACACGCCGCTACCTTCCCGTATCGGGGCGACTCTGCGCACTTTCCTCCCCACACGGGCTCACACACGTACAGCTTACAAAGATACACGTGTTTAGGCTGCGGCAATGATATTGATGATGATGATGAAGATGATAATGATGACGGTCATGATAAAAGCTAATTTGCTAATTTTTTTAGGCTCTGATTATCACCCGAACGGGAGACACGATGTTGAACCTCGCTTCGCCGTGCAGGCGATGTCTCCTGGCCTGCTACCCTCGACTCTAGGTCTCCTAGCCTTGCCGCCGCCGGGTCCCCCCGCTTCCTCCCCACTTGCGGTCACGCCAGCTGGCCGACGGCAGCAGCAACCTGCCATCGCCCTCTACGCCGCAGTCGGGGACCTGGCGGCGGACCTGCTGGGCCCCGGAAGCCGTATATGTACGGCAGCCGCCGGCGGTGAAGCCGCCGACGTCGCCGCTGCCGCGGCTGCATTGGAGGTGCTCATCGCGACGGGTCCGCAGTTGGCGGCGACGGCCGCCGCGGAAGCGGCAGCGGAAGCCGGCAGAGGTGGCGGCGACGCCGGCGCGGCGCTGGCGGCGCTGATGGCTTGGGCTCGCGTGGCGGTGGCAGTGGCGGAGCGCAACGCTGATGATCTAGCCACCGGGCCCAGGGAGTGTGCCGTACAGCTAGCGAATTGCGTGGTGGCGGCATTGGTCGCACGGTGCGTTTTAAACCCTGTCATAATAATATGCAAACAAGATTCGTGTTTTTCCAAGTACGTTTTTTCATTTCTGTTCGTAGGTGCATTCCTTTCTTTCCCCCTCCCCCCACCCCATCGGCCCCCCACCCGCACGTCTGGTACACTCTTGCCCTGGCAGCAGCTTCACTCGTGTGTGGTTCGTCTTTCCCCCACCCGCCTACCCACCAGACCAAACCGTCGGGAGTTGGTTGAGACCTGTACGGACTACTTTCTCGCGCTGAACACCGTACCTACTGCGGAACGACATCCCGCCCTGGCCGCGCCGCTGTACGGCGCCCTGCTGCCGATCATTAAGCGCGCGGTGTCGTACCCCGCCAATTTTGAGGACTGGGAGTCGGAGGTGGAGGAGGACGAGGAGGCGTTCCACCGGTAGGGCCCGGGGGGGGGCGGGGGCCGGGGGTTTAGGGAATGTACCCCCTTGGGTCCATGACGGAGCGCTTTGAGCCGCTTTTTCCTTTGCTCGAACAATATGAAAAGGCCCGAAAGAAACGTAACTCCCTTCATAATCTTCTGCACAACCCCACCCCACCCCCCAGTCCTCCCCTTCCGGGCAGTGTTTTTTTTTTCGTTTGGGGCCTAATACCCTAGAGTAATAAACTGGGTGTTTCTTGCGGTTACAATTCCTTTTTGTATAGTCGCTGGGTGGGGCTGCGCCCCCCCCAGACCCCCCCCTCAAAGGCTGTACAGTGTGCTGTAAACAACATTTGACGTCTGGAAACACACATGCCGTACCACCATCGTTCTGTGCACCTAACTGCATTGGCGCCAGTGTCTCTGTGAGCAGGGTGCGGAGCCACTTTGACTGTCCATAAACGTCGTGAGCACGCGAAGGCAAAGTTATATATATGTACACTGTCGGCACCATCAACACCACTGCATTGCACCAGCCGCCGACTTCGCTCAAATCGCTGGATTCACTGACTTCAAGAGCGGCAACTACGAAGTGCCTATCCTTGTCTTCTGTATTATCTAATTCTTCTTCTAAATGTTTGGGGCATTGCGTCTGCGGACTTTCTGAGCCCTTTGCTTTGGTCAAGAATGAACGAATGACCTAAGTTGAATGCAACAGCGGGCCGTCTCATGGTGATATCATCAAATATTTTATATATAAATAGTGTATAAGCTCCAGATGTTCAGCTTTATCTGTGCAGAAGGCATTTGGGGCGACTTATGGCCGAAGTAATGAACCAGTACGGCCAAGTGACCAATTATTCCATTTCTTCCAGGCTCAGACCCCCATTTATTCCCAAAAAAGTAATATATTACCAAAAAAATAAACACTGCTTCCGGGGGGTAAATAACCCAAATTTCCCCCCCCCTGCCTGCCTGACAGGTTCCGTGAGCAGCAGGCGACTGACCTGCTGGAGAGCATCTGGGGGCAGTGCCGGATTGCCATGCTGGCGCAGCTGGTGGCGGAGGCGACGGCGGCGTTGACGGGGTGGACGGGTGTGGTGGGGCCAGGAGGAGGCGGCGGCGGTGGTGGTGGTGGAAGTGGAGGCGGTGCAGATTGGCGTGGAGTGGAGGCGGCATTGTTTTGCCTACGTGCCGTACATGTTCCAGTCAAGGTACGGGGAGGTAACACGTGTGTGTGTATGACACGTGCGTGCTGCCTGTTATGGTCCTCATATTATTGTTATTATTATTATTATTATTGTTGTTGTTGTTGTTGTTACGACTGAATGATGTGCCATCAAGCGCCTCGCTGCCCCTGTTCCTCGTCTTTCTCCCCCCTTCCCTCCCTCTTTTCCCCCGCACACACACACATACACACACACGCAACGGGGACCAAAACGTTTCCTAAATCTCGGGGACTTGTGTCATTGCTTTGGACGTCGGCAAATGCTGCTTAGACTTCTGCATCCAAGACCCCACCTTCCGGGCCCCCGCCGCTGCTCGCACCTGCTCACCCACCCCCCCAACCCCCACCCCCGTCCGGGTGTCCCCGTCCAGGCCGCTGCCCTAGGGGGTCGAGCTGGCGAACTGGATAACCCGCAAGCCGCGGCCACAGCTGCCGAGCTGCAGGTGGGCATGAAAATGTCAAGGTGTCACGTCGAGCAAGCAAAGTAACTTCCGGCGTTCTTAAGAAGGGGGAGGAAGATCTGAAGAGTCTCAGGAAGAAAAGAAAACGGGGAGAAGACTCAGGCTCAGGCTCAGGCTCTCAGTGTTGGGCTCAGGCTCAGGCTCTCAGTGTTGGGCTCAGGCTCAGGCTCAGGCTCGGGCTCTCATTGTTGCGGGGTATGGCGGGGATGTGCGGGATGGGAGGGAAGTCCCAGCTTAGTCCGTTTCCGAATCTCAGTGCTGATCCGGATCCAAATTCAGATCCAAAATCCAGATCCAGATTCGGATTAAAAGTCAAAATTCAAGTGCATCTGTTCGCCGCTCGGTTTGTCCTCTTCGATTTTCAACGCCGTTCTTTAGTCTCCGTTCTTTAATCTCCGTTCTTAATCTCATGTCACACAGGCATACAGTACAGGCAGCCCCCCGTGCCCGTCTGTTGCGGAGAACCGCCATGTGCACACCGTACTTGTGGACACTTGCATGTATGTGCTTACATGCATTGATATACGCGTACACGCAATGCGTTGATGGCCCCCGCTTACCGTGCAGGCTTTGCTAGGTCGTCTCTTTAGCGACATCTGTTCACCCTCGGGTGCGGTGGCGGGGTGAGTGAGGGGGTTGAGTGGAGGAGAATGTGTGAGCGAAGGGGAGTGGGTGGCCGCAGCGCGCCAAAAAAAAGCTGGCGGGAGGAGGAGAAGGGAGAACGGAAGAGAAGCCATACACCACAGCCGTGCAGGGGCGATGCGGTTCGGAGCTTGGAGACACAACAGCCCCCTTCCTACCCCTTTTTGGGCCCCCCCTCTTTCCTTCCCTCCCCCTTTCCCCACACACATACTCACCCGGCGTTGTGGAGGTTGGAGTTCTCCTCGTGAAACTCCTTCTTGCCAGTTCATGTAAAATATGTATCGCTGCTGGCAATGTGTATGAACGAATGAGAAAATTTCATTTAGTAGTAACCAGTATCTAGAGATGTCCAACAAACCCCGAACCGTCCGCACTCCCGCAGTCTGGTGAAATACAGTCCCCGCCCTTCACCCCAGCGGGATCTCCGCGGGGGGGGGCTCCCAGATAATGAATGGTTCACTGGGTGCCCAAAGCTCTCTCCTAATGCTAATGCTCACACACACACACACACACCGGTATTCCTAGACCTTGTACCCACAGCGCCATTCTTCTCCCGACCGATGCCGCACACACACGGGAATAGCCCCGATCCCCATTCATCAGTACACTCCGCAGATGCACTTCCCTCGGCACTTCCCTCTTCGGCACTTCCCTCTTCGGCACTTCCCTCTTCGGCACTTCCCTCTTCGGCACTTCCCTCTTCGGCACTTCCCTCTTCGGCACTTTCCTCGCCACCTTGCTCACGCGGCGGCGCAGTTCATGTAACGCACATCATGTAGCGGTCGTCATGGGTGAGCCGCCTCCCGTGATGTTTGCAACCTCCCGTCCCCATGGCGCCCACCTCATGAACCCTTCAGGTTGCTGCATGTCCCATGGGTCTGTCTGGCGGTGTGCCGACTGATTGCAGAGTACGCTGCCTGGCTTGGAAAAGGGAAAGATGCGCCCCTGCTGGTATGTGTCTGTATATGTGTCTGTATACATATGTGTGTGTGTCTGTATATGTGTCTATATATGTGTCTGTATATGTGTCTGTATATGTGTCTGTATATGTGTCTGTATATGTGTCTGTATATGTGTCTGTATATGTGTCTGTATATGTGTCTGTATATGTGTCTGTATATGTGTCTGTATATGTGTCTGTATATGTGTCTGTATATGTGTCTGTATATGTGTCTGTATATGTGTCTGTATATGTGTCTGTATATGTGTCTGTATATGTGTCTGTATATGTGTCTGTATATGTGTCTGTATATGTGTCTGTATATGTGTCTGTATATGTGTCTGTATATGTGTCTGTATATGTGTCTGTATATATATGTGTGTGTGTGTGGATGGGGGTGGATGGGGGTTGGGGTGGGGATGGGGGAATGCGCTTTCCGCGTAACATGTTTTTGGGTGGGGCGGAGGGAGAGGTCAAGTAACATAAAGTATTTGCCGACGTTGGCAACAAGCGACATGAGTCGGGGGGAGGGAGATGAAAGGGCAGGTGTGGAAAATTTATGGTGGGGGCGTGCGGGCTTTGGCTTTGGCTTTGCGGTGCGTCTGACAGCAGCAATATGAGGGGCTTCTCCCCCCCTGCCCCCCGGGGGGTGGTTAGGAGGTCAAAAGCCTTTTTACTTTGGGGTGGGTGGGTCCCGGAGGTCCCCAGGCATGTTGGGTGAAAGAGTTGGGTGAAAGAGTTGGGTGAAAGAGTTGGGTAAAAGAGTTGGGTGAAAGAGTTGGGTGAAAGAGTTGGGTGAAAGAGTTGGGTGAAAGAGTTGGGTGAAAGGGTTGGGTGAAAGAGTTGGGTGAAAGGGTTGGGTGAAAGGGTTGGGTGAAAGAGTTCCATTGAAATCTATGGGAACGAATCTATGGGAAAATGAGGATGTTGTCTGACTTGGCCACACCGGCGCAATCAACTGCAAACCGCCAACCGCCAACTGTCAACACCCGCAGGCCGCGATGGATCTGCTGATTCGCGCGCTGGCGGTGCCTCAAGCCGCCGCTGCGGCTGCGCAGGTGAGGTCAGGTCAGGGAAGCGACCGGGCACGATCACCGACAAGCAAGCAAGCCGCAGATCGAAGCCGCAGACCGGCATATATATCCTGTGATGAAAGGCGTGAGGGCATGTGCTAGTGCCTCTTGCCCCTCATGCGCCTCGCGGTGTTGATGTGCGCACAACACCACCACCCTAAACCGCACCCATTGGTTATTCCCCCGTGCCCTAAGTCCCTTTCGGCTTTCTCTTTATCCCTTCACACGCTTAAACGCTTTCCTTTCCAAGTAACCAACTAACTAACCGCTCCACCGAATCAACTGAATGGATCAAATTCGACCAGGCTTTTCGGAATTGCTGTGTCCGTGGCGCGGAGCGACTTACCGGTGACCCGCCCGCGTTGTCGGCGCTGGCGGCGGCAGCCATGACAGCAGTGGCACCGCCGCCGCCGCCGGCAGGCGGCGGGGCTGGCGCCGCAGCGGCGTCGTCGTCGTCGGCGGCCGTGTCGTTGGGTCTTGATGAGCGTTGCGCAGTGGTGGAGGGGCTGTCGAGGCTGGCGTCCAGTCTACCGTCGGATGCAGCGGCGGCGGCGGGATGCGGTTTGATGGCGCCGTGTGCGGCGAGGGCGCAAGCCGTGGTAGCAGCTGCGGCAGCAGCGGGTGGGTGGGTGGATGGGTGGGTGGGTATAGGGTACCTTTCCCCTCCTCCCAGTTCCCCAACACGGTGAGATACCTAAGCCGATGCCTCTCTGGTTTCGGAGCCGCTCTGCTCAGCTGCCATCGACCCATTCCCGGGTGCTCCGGGGAGCTTCGCACACCTTCCGCGCCCGCTCCTACCGAATAGAACACCACAAAGCACAAACGTAACCAACCCACACCTCAGACCTCACCGCCGCCGTCTCCATGGCTTGGGCCTCCACCCGTCGGTGCTTTGGAGGTCCTGCAGTTGACCCTTTTCACTTCCTTTTCCTCCATCACATAATGATAATAATAATCATAGTGACCCACACGCTATCATCGGCAGTTGATCCTTTGTTTCTTTCATCATGTAATGTAATATAATGTAATGTAATGTAATGCATTTGTTTCTTGCACCGTGCGATTTCCCCCCCTGTCTACACTTGCCCACCTGGCATCTGCTTCACTCGCCTTTGGCTCGTCTTATCCCCCTCCCACAAGCACCCCCCCCCTTACCTGCCTACCAGCCCAACACAAAGCCCAAACCTACCTGTGTCCGCACAACCCCCTTCATTCCCTGCAGGCGGGCCGTTGTCCCCAACCACCCTGGCTGCCCTGGCTGCGGAGCTGGGCCTTATGACTGCAGTGGTGCGATACCTGGAACCACCCGGTCCTCCACCACGCGCCCATGTGGGGGGACTGCCCGTACCGGGGACTTCCGGGCCAGTGGCGGCGGCGGCAGGGGCGGCAGGGGGGCCCCTGGATCACCCAGCGTTGCGGGCTTTGCAGGTCCGGAAAGCCAGATGGGATTGTTTGTTTGTCTGTTTGTTTGTTTGTCCGTCTGGTTCGCCTCGTATGAGTGTTTGTCTGTTTGTGCGTTCGTTGGTTCGTTTGTTGGTTTGCCTGCTCGCTCGGTTTGTTTTCTCCATGTCTTAAAAAGGAGTTAACCACCACTTCCATGGTCCCGCTCACGACCCCCCGAGCAGGTGGCCTGGCCCGTGCTCAGTGCTGTGGCTGGTGAGCCTCAGTGCCAGACGGACCCGGGGGTGGTGGAGGCGCTGGCGGAGCTGTACAAGGTGGGAGAGGGGAGGGAAGGGGAGGGGGAGGGGAGGGGAGGGAAGTTGGGGGGATTGGGAACGGGAAAACACGGCCCAGTATTCAGGCCCAGGATGTGATGGTCCGAGGGGAAGACCACCGACGGCCTGCGCACGTATGAGGGCGGTCGAGCGTGAGGGCGGGGAGGGACGGGTGGGAGGTGTGGGAGCAAAGAGACCTCCGGGGGTGCGGTACGGGCAAGAGGGCAGTAGGGGGGAGGATGAGTAGGAGGGGCAGGAGGGGTAGGAGGGGTAGGAGGGGTAGGCGGAAAGTGCTACTTCGTGGAAGTGCTTCTGCTTTTCTGTAACTCTGTTTGACGGTGTATCCCTCCCGCCCAGGTCAACCCCTTGTAGTTTCCTAGCTAACCATTGCGCTTCCCGCAACATGCAAGTCTGCTCCGAAACCGTCCCCTGCACACACTCAAAAATACGCTAACATACATACATACATACTATGTATACAAACTCCAACAGCGGTCCCTGCTCAGCACCAAGCTAGCTGGTCGGCCTCTACTACCGCCTCTCATCTCCGCCATGATGGGCGTACTGCAAGTACGACCTCACTGTGCCGTACTGGACTGCCTGTCAACGGTGGTGGAGCTGTTCGGGGAGGTGGCTCACAGCGGGGAGACCAGAGCGGCGCAGGTACACGTAGGAATGGATGCGCGCGCATGTGTGTATGTATGTATGTATGTATGTATGTATGTATGTGTGTATGCATGTATGTATGTATGTATGCATGTATGTATGTATGTGTGTTAATGATCTGAATCGCGGGCAGGAACTGGCGAGGACGGGTGAACGTACACGTTCACCAAACAGCAAGAGAGGAGGGTAACGTTTGAGGCGGGAAGGGGATGTCATCGCCACCGCGCTCCCAACCCCACCTCAGTGCCTCTCTCCACTCCCCCCCTCGCTGGAACCCTCGTGAGCGGCTGGGGGCCATATGGGGGAAAGGTCACCAGTGCGAGGTTTTTAATTATTACCCCCGACCCGACCCCGGTGTCGGCGACACAACACGTCGGTAATCTTTTGTTTTGCCGGACTTTCGGTTCGGAGGGTTGCAGAGGCAGCTGCATGGTGGTATTGGACGCTTCGGCAGTTTTCATGCTTTGGGGCCTTTGGTGAACAGCCCCTGGTGGGGCCTCCTCTGCTCCATCCTTTGCACCACCACCACCACCACCATGACTATCATATCCGGGCCCAGCAGCGAAAGTATAATCATTACTGTAATACCAAGCTTATTCCAAAAGGCCCCCGTATTCCCAAACCTCCATTTCCTTGACCGCTCTCCCATCACCCCTCCCCTCACTTCTCCCTCGTTGGTTCTCACCCTACCCCCCGACCCCCACCCCACCCCACCCCACCCGTGGTTCGGTTTTCCCACCCCCACCCCGCTTGCCCAGATCGCGGCACTCGAGGGCTGTGTACAGATGATGGCTGCCCTCATGAACCACATGCAGGTCAGGGGGTCAGGGGGGGGGGGCCGCGAAAAGGGAGGGGGGGAAAGACGAACCATGAACTAGTGAAGCTGCTGCCAAGGAAAGAGAAGCAGAACTGACCAGTAGGCGGTTTAGAAGGGGCTGACCTCGGGATGATGACGACCGCGGAAACCTACCTACCTAGCAGCCAAGACTAAAGTAAGAGCGGAAGAAAAGCAGTAGAGCGAAGCCGTAAAGAAGTGAAGATAGGTGTAGAGGCGGCGGAAAAGAACTGATGACGTGAGCTGGAATAAAGGTTGCCGCCGGCCTGGCGAAAGGGGGGGAGAACATCGGACTTGCCGGGAATGTGTGTACGGAGTGGTGGATGGCGGCCGTGAGTATGTGTGCTTGTGTGTGTGGAGGGGGATAAACTAGGCACTGAGGAGGGGGATTTGCCTGCTGTAAAGGAGTAATTCTTCCTTGCTCTTCCTTTCCTCTTTCCCCCCTCTTTCGTTTCTCTTTGCCTCTCTCTTTTTCCTCTTCGTCCTCCCCTCCCCTCATTTTATTCGACCTATTGGACACCAGCCACCCCTCCTCCTCTTCGCCCACCCCTTCTCCTCTCCATCCTCCCCAGACATCATCTTCCGGCCCGGCTCCCTCCCCCTCCTTCCCGTCCTGCTCCTCCCCGGGTGAGCTGGCCGCCTCTTTCTTCACTCTGGTGGACCGCTACCTCATATTCGCCAGGGAGCTGCTGCTGGGGGGGGAGGGAGTGGCGGCACTGCCCGCCCTCATGGACTGGGCGTGCAGGTGAGGGAGAGAGGGGGGAGAGGGTGAGAGAGGGGAAGAGGGAGGGAAGGAGAGAGGGAGAGGAGGAGAGAGGGAGAGAGGGGAAGAGGGTGAGAGAGGGAGAGAGGGAGAGAGGGGGGAAGAGGGAGAGAGGGGGGAAGAGGGAGAGAGGGGGAGAGGGGGGATGAGGGAGAGGGGGGGTGAGGGAGAGGGAGAGAGGGAGAGGAGGAGAGGGAGGGCGGGGGATGTTTGATGTGTGGCGGGTGGCGGGTGTCATTGGTTTGCGTGGCTGTGCGGTTTCCGAACCCTATACCCCCTGCCCTCCGAACCAGCTGCTTCTGGGGTAACAAGCCCACGGCACTTTCTTTGCTTCACTAATTTCTGTGGGCTGGGCAGGGCAGGGCAGCGCAGGGCAGGGCAGCTAATGGATAGGTTCACTCGAACCCTAACCAAAAATGAAACCCGTAAAACTCCTCTCCTCTCCTCTCCTCTTAAGATCAATATCCCTTTCCTCTCCGTCAGGATCCTGGTGACCATGCGCGAGCGCGAGCCAGCGGCGGCGGCGCTGTCCTTCCTCGGCCACTTGCTATCGGCGGCAGTTCAAGTAGCGACGGAGGAGATGACTGGGGCCGGCAGCGATGGGGCCGGACGGCCGGCGGCAGCGGCGGCGGCAGAGCTGCGGTCCAGGTAGTACTTAGGGGGTTCCGGAGGGGTTTGTGGAATAGGGGTGCGGCGCAATTACGATGTTCTTTCCGTCTTTCCGTATTCGTGGGGAGTCAGGTCGTTTGGTAGGTGGTCTTGTGCCGGGGATACATGCAGACTTGCTGGTGTGTGTGTGTCTGTGTGTGTCTGTGTGTCTGTGTGTCTGTGTGTCTCTGTGTGTCTGTGTGTGTCTGTGTGTCTCTGTGTGTCGGTGTGTGTCTCAGTGTGTTTGCACCTTATCCGGCCCGTCTATTACCACGAGCCACTCCCCCTCCCTCCCATCTTCCCAGGTTAGACAGTCTGTTTGGTCGCTACGGTCCCCGTCTGGTCCAAACCCTCCTGACCGCGGGAGTGGACACGTGCCCGCTGCAGCTCGCGAGGGCACTGGCGGGCTGCCTGGCGGGGCTCACTGCGCTGGCAGATGCGGGGGCAGCGGTTGCAGGTGCAGGGGCGAGGGCGGCAGGGGCAGCACCACCCCCGATTTCTCCCGCTGACTCGGAGCTGCGACGAGGACTGCCGGGCTGGCTTCGGGGCGCCTGGCAGCTACCGCCCCTAGCAGGTGAAACAAAATCGTGCGTGCGAGTGATGGGTTAGGTGGGCGGGTGCTTGGAGGAGGTGGAGAGGTGGACTCGTGCTTTTCCTGTGGAGGGGTTGGAAAGTTTTTGGGCCGTCCGGGAGGATGGGTGTGAGGTCTTTCTTTGGGGTTGGGGTTGTTCAGGAAAGAGAGGTTGCTGTGTGGGGCTGTGTGTGGCCACACTACGGCGCAGGAGGTGGTGCGCTGCTTTCGTTGCTTCTTGCTTCCTGCATCATACGATTTCTTCCCCCCCCCCTCTTTCCTGGCAGCAGCTTCAATCGTGTGTGGTTCGTCTTTCCACCCCTCTTTCCTCCTCAGAGCTTGTACACAGTGGCAAGCTGGGTGACGGTGGCTCCCTCGCCGCCCTCTTCACGGAGCTCCTGCTGAGGGGACACTATCCCCAGGATGCCGCCACCACCACCACCACCACCACCGACCAGCAACAGAATCAGCAGAACCAACAGCAGCAGCTCCTGCCCCCACTTACAAGAGGTCGGCTGGACTCACTGGTGTCAGACTTTTTCAAGCTAGCACGAGGTGAGGCGGACACGGACGTCATGCTAGCGTACCAGCTATAGTGATACGGTGTAGCTGAAGCTGTTAGTTGTGGTAAGAGGGTGTATGGGCGCTCGTCAGTACGTGTGGGGGGAGGATGCTCGTATATGTGCGAGTGATGACCAGGTTGCCGCTGTGCTGTTGTAGCTGCTGCTGCTGCAGCTGCTGCTGGTGCTGCTAGGATCCTCATGAGAATATGAGGAAAAAACTATTATTAGGAAGATGAGATTAATCTCATACAATATTGTAGGCAGGCATGCACTGCAGCATGTAAGGAGGAACTAATACTGTCTAGCAAAATATGCAACTGCTTTTCATGGCAGGGACAGAGGCCGGTCCTTTTTGTTTTTGGGCTGTCCGGGGGGTGATGCGAGCTCATCTGACGGCACCTCATTGCAGAGGGGCTTATAGCGTGTGGTTGGGTGGTGACGGGGGCAGCACTACCGGTCTGCACTGCTCTGTCTAGTCGGGTTCTCAGTACTAACATGATGTTATTCACTCATGATCATATCGCGCATCCTATTGTGATTGCGGTACCTACGAAACGGTGTCGTGTGTGGTGTCGATTGTCAGTGAGGCATCAGTGAGGCATCATGCGGCCAATTGGTAGGGCTGTTGCTGCTGTGGCTTTGCTGCCTGTATGCAGAGGGCATGGAATATGTTTTGAGCCTGGAGAGCGTGCGCAGTACCTACATGCCAATGTGAGCGTACTGTTGTAGTGTTCATACGTGTGTGTGTGTGTATGTGTTGTGCGTGAAGACGTATGGGCTCATTAATTCTGCGTACATGTGGGCGACACGTACCGTGAGCCTTAATAGGGGTGTGGTGGAAGTCGTCACACGTGAGGGGGCATTACGAGATGCCCACATGTATCACGTTCAAAACACCAGATGAACTCGGGGGGGCTGTACTTGTCAAGATGTACGTAGTGTTTTTTGCAGACTGTACCATATAAGCAAGTGTACACGGGATTACAAGCCACAAGTATATCCCTCGACGGCCGCGTGCTCAGATGTCAGATCTCCTTTCGCCACGTGACCTTGTATGCCATCTTGCATCAACACGTGCCGCCGATAAGCACGATGCACCAACCTGACGACAAACAACATCCTCTCAACATCAAGATGGCAGTCGGTGCACTCGGTTCCTCTTAACTGCAGAGTTTGGCAGCGTTCAATGCACCAAACATAAGCGACTGAACTGAAACAAGATTGAGAGCTTAATAATTACTGGCAGCTCGACCGTGTTGTCGGAAAGCTTACCGTGTACACAATGCAGGTGTGCCGGTAGATCTATCAAATCCCTGATAGACGACCTTATACTAGTTTTTCGCACCACCCCGAGCCTGCCCCGACGCAACAATGCAGATGCCTGCACCACCGGATGGCTGGTAGCTCCAAAATCCTCTGTAAGTCGGAGGCAAAATCGGGACGACCCAGATCCAAAAAAGCGACAAAAAACGAAAAAAGCTCTCTGCATCTTCCTCGACAAAGAGGAGGGTTTTGCTCCGCCGAAATACTGCATCCTAGACCGCATCCATAATACCCGCATAATCCTTGTGACATCGACATCGGGGTCCTTGAGTTTGGTTCCGCTGCTCTTCCCCGGCCCCCCACCCCCGAGTTCCCCCGATGACGTGAACCGAACATCCTCCTCTGTACCGCCACGAGAAAACAACGACGATATTGGACAACAGTATTGGCGGACAAGTAATGCAGGACAACGCACAAGAAAGCGATGAAGATGATGGGTTGTTAAGGATCACAAGCAGTAATATATAGTGATGACAGCTACACACTTATGGCCTTTCCGCGACCACGAGGACGCTGCTGATGTCAACCTTCTTTTCCCTCTTTCAGGACGGCCTCAAAAGCATTTGATCCCATCGGTTGGCTGATACCGATACCCTAAGTAATAGATCGTCAGGGGCCATAGGTTTATGGCACCATCAGGCACAGCAGTTGCGTGAAAGACTACGCACTCGCAAGACCCATCGGCTCGCCAGCATGAATGCGACATTTAACTTTTGTCTACATCTGACATCTGCACATACACTTTACGTCGTAAGAGCAAACATGGTGCGATGCGCGGCATGCATCTGCAGTTCATTCACTGCTAGTCGACGTCAGGGACCGAAATCAAGGCATGTGACCGGGTAGGGTACATAGGGTGGTACGTCGTGACATGCCCGCGGTGGCTAAGCGACCTTCATGGCAGCCGCACGTGTAAGTGCATGGGTGCTAAGGATCTCCAACTGTTAACGTACGGTGGGTGAGTACATGGGTATTGCTCATACCCAACAAACAGGGAGTAATACAAGATACACACACAAACACACGCACATTCACACAACAGCACGGGAGCCTTTCCCTCTGCTTTTACCATGTCTTCTATATAGAGATAGACCATTGAGATTGGATACGGGATTACGCGGCCGCCGCCAAAACCCAATACACGAAATGGTGTTAAATGCGATGCGCATTGTAGACAACTTTCTGAGTTGTCATTCGTCGTAACGGTCAGCAATGGTCAGTCGATTGGCCGGTTGGTTTACGGCTTCACAGTTGCAATCGTGTAGAGCATATATACGAACTAACGAAGAGAAATAAGCATACAGGCAGTGAACCCCTCCTTTCAAGTGGTACTTTGCGTACGACTGCATAAGCAATAAAAAGCAGGGCCACCCACGAGTATGACACCGCGTACGCCGTAGTAGTTTTAAGGGAAGGGCACGGTTCCAGTACTGCTGCCCAACAACCCTTTCAGCGCCCCATCCCAACCGTCCCTACCCGTAAACTACTGCGCACACATCTACCACCACGCCCAAGAATCGACGGAAGGACGCGACCTACCAGTTACAAAACTGCTACGCCCCTTCGACGAAGCATGCAAATGCTCACTGCCGCCCTCCCGCTCTGAGCAAATGCTCACTGCCGCCCTCCCGCTCAGAGCAAATGCTCACTGCCGCCCTCGCGATCAGAGCTTACGGCCTCGTGCACAACTGCCATCACCGCCGCCAACCGGCGTAGACGCCCGCCCAGTCACCACCCGCGCTTCACGGCGACACATTTGAATCAGAGATGGACAAGCAGCAACGCACGCATGGGTCCGCCACTTAGTACCCCGCATTCCCCCCAATCTCCACTTCCACATAGACCCCCAACAGGGGCCCACGGCCGCTCTGTCCTCCCTCCGATCCTTCCCCTTTGTCACTTGTAAGTCTGTTGTAAACTCCCTGGGCTTGTCTCTTTTTACCTTTACCAGCTACACCGCATCTCAAAGTGCCAATGACGGCGGTACAAAGGCTGCTGAAAGCGGCACACGAGCCCACACCGCATCTCGCACCGCATGATGGCTTGTCACGACCACCAGCAGGGTAATCCAAGAAGGACCACCAGCGCCGCGGCCAATCAAACCACGAGGCTTCACCTGCTGTGGTGCGTGCTTGTGCTCAATGGAAAAGAGCCGCTAGGGCCGGGCCGGCGCTGGAACAGCGGAGACACCATGGGCTCACGACAGAGCGCACTGCCTAGCTATCTATCCAACTGTCTGGTATGACACAGTCATACATACATACATTCGATTGCGGATTTGGGTCTCTCTGTCCATCCATCGCTCCATCCATCATTCCAACGGGTAAAACACCCAGCGGGGGAGAGGGGGCGCGGAGGGGACCCACTGAGGGCCGCGGGGAGGATGTCCTGGTCCTTGGGCCGGTCCACTTGGGGCCCACACATCCCCGGGGGAAGAGGAAGGGAGGCCCCATCTGCCGGGAGGAGGATGAGAAGGAGCTCTTATGCTCTTCACAATTCCGCAACAGCAGAGGCGACAGAGCGGAGACCAGGCAGATACACGGGGTGCTGGAAGTCCGGTCATGGCGGCCAACAGACAGCTCAGCGACTGTTCCGGTCCAGAGCAGGGGTGGGTGTGCTGCCGTGTTAATGCTGCTGCCGCAGCTACTGTAAATCTCTGCTGTCACTGTTGTCGACGTGCCAAGGCTTCATTTCCTGTCGCACATGGTCTGAGCCATAGGGAGAGAGAGAGAGAGAGAAGACGGCTGTGCCCGAGCAGGGTAGGGAGCGAGGGAGCGTGTGTTTAAGGTGGGTGCTGCTGGCTTCACAGCGCTTTTCGGGTGTCAAGCCACGTTTTCCACGTCCTTGTGCGTATGTTATATGTGTATGTAAATTTGGTAATAAAACTGGTGAAGAGCGAATCATGTCGCGTGTAATCCCTTCCCTGTTGCGTTTACTCCAACGAATCACGTGTGACGGAGTCGCTATTACCATGTCAAGCGCCCCCACTGTCACTGCTGATCGGTGCCTCTCATCCCCAGCTGCTTAGTCCCAGCTGTCCTCCTCTTCCCAAAGCTCCACGAGACACTCCACGACAGCCTGGAAGGAAAGGAAGGGAATCATGGCAATGAAAGCGGGAAGTTAAGGGTCGATCATAATGATAGTGATGATGATATATTGGCAAGATGCACCGATTGATAGGAATGGTAAACAAGGTGTCAGTTTTGGGGAGGGCAGGAATGCCCAGCGGGTCGCGGAGTGTGGTTGGGAGGGTTAAGGGTAGGAAACCACAGGAGGGAGGGAAGCCAAAGTGGGCAGGAATCAGGAGCAAGAGCAACGTGCACGTATATGTAGTTTTGCAGCGAAGGTTGGATGAGGTGTGTACAAAGGCAGGGCACGGCGGATTCGCGAAAAGCCCAACCGTTACCTACGCGTTGCGGCTACTGACCTCCAAAGGCACAGCGCGTGGGAAAGGTCGTTCACCTAGCACCATGTCATGTGTTACCAGAGGCCTGCGGGGAAGATATATTGGCGAGGTTGGATATTGTTGGGCACAGGATAACATCCAGCACGGGGGACATAACAATCGAATACCGGTCGACTTACAAATTACGTGGTCTCGGGTAAGCAGGGCGATTTCCCGAAGTCCACTGTGCTCTTTGCGCAAGCCAACGTTCATAGCCTGCGGGGAAGGACGAGCGGTCCGGTCACATCACCAAATGGCTTTGGCAAGCAAGCGTTTAGTCCTTTGCTCACCTTCGTTTACGCAACTATCCTGCGCCTGCTCCGGCATCTCTGCTTCGCTTATCTCTAAAGGACCTGGCCCTTCTTGCTGCTCTTGCTGATGTTGTTCGGCTCCTTGCCGCTGGCTTGTTGCCATCGTTCGCACAGCGTTCCCCGTTTCTGAGGTCTAAAAATATTGTGGCCTTGCAGGCTTATAAATATATTTGTCGGTTATGTGTGCGAAGATGACGGGCTCAAAATTAACTGAAAAAAGTTGACGAGCTGCGGAACTAGCGTGGACTGTGATACATGGTGTATGCTAACCCCTTCAGACTAAAAACACGAACATGTTTCGTATCCTGAATAATCTACTGACGCAAAATCAGAGGGTAACGCGGATTACTTCGTACGGGGTGCCGTGAATTCCTTCCCAAACGGCAGTCCATCACAAGTCCACATTGCTAGATAACGTGAAAGAAACCCTCCGAGCTCCGCGTCTACCGACTGCCTTAACTTGAAGGCCACCGTCCTGCATCCGCCCAAGACCTGCAAGGAACGGCACCCAGACCTGCACAGGCTTCACGGCCGTGTTGTTGATTTATCCAGTTACAAGTCCCTTTAAACCTCAGGCCAGTCCTCGCAACGGCAGACGGCATGGCGGCATGGACGGGAAAAACCCTCCTGCGCAGCACCCAATCCCTTTCCAATCCCTTTCCATATCTCGTAAATGCAGCCGCCTCTGCGGCGCCCTCCCGATCTCACTACGGCTGTGCCTTCCTCCTCCTCCTCCTCCAAATACGTGACAAGGGAAAACCCTTTCCCATGGGACTCTCTCTCCCCTGTCGTCGCACATGACAGCACACGTAGCGCTAAGAGCCGGCCACAAGCCTCTAATGTGTCCTCCATCCAGTCCACAATAAATCACCCCGTCATCTACTTTCCTTAGCCTTGTCCATCTCTTTCCAGCGTAAACACCACCCCAGCCCCTCTCCCCAGGGGCCCAGGCAGCTCCTCTCCTCTCGCCCAACACGCTGTTTCCTCCTTTCTTTTTTACACTGTTACGAGGTGGCCCCTTCCTGGCCCGGCCCTTCTCCTCCTTCCCCTCGATGTGAGCATCCTTGTGGTCGTCTGGAGCGGACTGTTTGGACTTCACCGGGCAGCAGCAACCGCCATCGCAGCCTGTGACTCAGACTCCCGTACGGCCCTCTTGAGGTGCATCACCTGCGTATATTGGCAAGGGGGGGAGGTAACACGTGATACACGGCACCACGGCGATGATGACGATACAACGGTGAGGGAGGAAGGGAGGAGCTATACATGTAGGGTGAAAGCAGTGCGTTACGTACGGAGGTGCAGGAGGGGCGAAGGAAGAGGAGAGGGATATAGGGGACTCGTGGGCGGAGAGGCCAAAATGTATCTCCATCCCTATGCACCTCCAATATTAGTGGTCACTGCCAATGTGAGTCCTGTTGCTGTTGCTTTTGTTGTTGATGATGATGATGATGATGATGATGATGATGATGATGATGATGGTAGTGATACCGCTGCTGCTGCTCCCCATCCTCGTTTTCCCCCAATCCAAGCACTGTCGTGTTGTCCAACGTGTGCTTCCAATCCCCCTTCACCAACTTTCTCCGCGCTTATCCCTCGCAGCAAGCTTAGCCAGTTAGCCAATTCCAGCCAATTATCAACGTGCACCTGGACAATCCAAATAACTTCCCCGCCGCCCACTAAACCCACCTGGTATTTCAGTTTCGCCACCTCGTCCTGCAGCGCATTACGATCAGAAACCGCCTGTGAAGGAGGGAAACGGGACGAAGGAAGGGGGAAGATACCAATAATAAATTAGTATTGTAGGTATAGCTCCTTCAAAAAATTGATAATACTAATCCGTCTTCATACTTTTTAATGGAACGGAAAAATAACGTTCACGCCCGTACATGGGATGGATGGCTGTGTTAACACCGCCGCCGCAGCAGCAGTGGGCGGCAGTGGTCACGCCCAAGTCATGTGTAGCCTCCACCGTCGTCCGGCCCCGCGTCTTTTCCCTCTACCCCGTTCCTTCTCCTTGGGGGCCCTTATGCACCATAGCTAAGCGATGTGAATTGTAACTGGACAGAAAGTCGGAACCCGGCTCAAAGTGAGGTCACAAGGGGTCCCTTGGCACATTACCCGCACTGACACACTTTATCCATCGGCCCAGCACGAGGATTCAGATCATCCTTCTGTCAAGGTTTGGGAGATGACATCTGTAGAGCGAGGAAAACTTCTATTCCCTCCGCATATTTTTTAAGCGTCCCAAGACCGAGGAAATGCATTAGTCTGTCACAGCGACGCTTTGCACCTTATCGCGCTCCTCTTGGAGCTTCGCAGTCCCATCTTTAGCCTGGACAAGAAGCGCCCGTAGCTCCCGGAGGGAAGCTGAATCGGTGAGACCTGCTGTAAAAACAACTTATATGATTGCGCAAATGGCAGAAAACATAAAGAGGGGGTTAATTTGAGCCAAGATGAGCCCCACACCTCCGGAAGCAACCAAAGCCTCCAGGGCAGCGAGCCGATTCTCTGCGTTTAAAGCGCGCTCCTCAAAGACTGCAAGACTCAAGGCGTCCATCACGTATTCCGATTTTGCACGAAACTTGCCGAAGAGATTGGGCACTATGAAATTTTGGAAAATGTCAGTCAACAGCGCTCCTATTTTACATGACGAGACTCACGGAAAGAAATATCTTTAGGGTTGCTGATGCCGTCCATTACCTGTTGTAGGTACGGCTATGAGTAAAGCACGAAAAGCAGCAATAGCAAATTCTTATGAGTTCTACTGTTCAGAGCTGTGCATGATAAATATGCATGGTATTTCATCCTTCGACCGTCTCAAGGCAGGGTCGCGTACACCGCCATCTGCATGATTCGGTTGGAATTAACGGCCGCAACGCTATTGTTCCACCCTCTGCACGCATGTTGCCAGACAGAATACCCATGGTTCTTCTCGTTCCCGCCCTGTAATGTTATGAAGTTAGTTAACGAGCGTTTGTAACGCGTGTGAGACCATGTCGTAACTTCGGAGCTAGCGGAGCTAGGACTTGTGTGTACGACGAGTGAGGTTGTGGCGCGCTAGCCAGACTATTTAAGCTGACCATGCTGCACACTTTCATTGTACAGACTTAAATGCTCGCAACAACGGTAGTACGACTGTGAAGGACATTGTCTCTTCCCAGTCGTCTTCCATCGTGTGCCTCCCTGCCTCATCTACGAGCGAACCAAATGCCAAGGGTTAGGAAGGTTAGATGGAAGTGACCCGAACCCGAGTCACTGTAGGCGATATGTGTGCTGTACTGTGTATCAGCTACTACATTTTCCCCCCCTTTGAAGGGATCCGTCTCGGGCCTTTACACAAGGGCCACATACACCAGCCAGCCTGTGCCTACCTTCTCCTACCCTCGGGCAATTGGTGAGCAGTCCACGTCACGTCATGTTCCTCGACTCACATGCGCCTAGCCGTCTTCATATTATTTAGGCACCGAGTCTTCCCAAACAATCACAGCTACATTTTTGACACGATATCCATGCAAATGATCGTCATTGCCGTCCAACCCGGATATTCACTATGTTGTTAGTTTGGGTAAAACTGACAACTACATGGTCGTAAATATGTACAAAGTCTCATACCGATTGAAGTAGCCGGCCGCAGAAAAGGCTTTCCGAAATGCAGATGGTGTGCTTAGCACGTATTTGTAGACAATATGTGTGTCGTACTATGTATCGGCTACTACAGTCTGATCCCAACGGGCTACAGAGTGAATCGTTGGGTTTATGGGTCCAAGTCAACAGTACCGATTGTATGCACGAATGTAGCGACGGAAATTGTAGATAGATGTGGTTGACTACTCAGATAACTCTGCAAATGAAATCTTTATATTGCTAGGCGCATGTGAGCTACTCCTGAAACTGTTCTCCCTGTCCGAGGCTGTTGCTGATGGTGTTAGCTAGGTTTGTCCAAGGCAGCAGGTGAATTATATCAACTCGGACAATTTAGAGAAGTTCGCTTCCCTGCCATTCTACAGTACATGTACATGTGCCCGCGTACGCACCGCGTTGCCTTGAGGACGCCGGTGTGTACCTGCTGACCCGTACACGGTCTGTACACGTATCCATGATAGTGAAAATCAAACCGAAACCAGCACACACCAAGGACGTGTTATGGCATGGAAGCACGTGCATGCTATGCATAAATGGTGGTTGACAACATATTTCTGATGGGGTACTCGTGACGAGAAACTTCTAACTTAAGAACGGCGAGAATTTGCTCCTTGTCATTATGGATTGGGTGGAAGTATAATGAAGCCGTACATAAACGTGTAATCACCCTGGCAGACCGTCAACCACAACAAAAAGGTGGTGAATTCCCACTTTCGCACCCGATGCGATTCGAACGCACGCGGGAAATCCCACCGCCTTAGCAGGGCGGCGCCTTAACCACTCGGCCACAGGTGCGCACATGTAAAAAAGTCGTCAGTGTCCAATATAGGTAACAATTCAATGACAGGCGCCGGGTGCACAACGGGTACAGTGCACAACAGCACAACCGTAACAACACACACGCAAGATGGGATCCAAGTGATGACATAAAAATACGCACTGCAATTCTCCAAGGGGAGATTTTCAAGTTGGGCTATTCCCGGTTCGCTCGCCGTTACTAGGGGAATCCTGGTTAGTTTCTTTTCCACCGCTTAATGATATGCTTAAGTTCAGCGGGTAACCTTGCCTGAGCTCAGGTCGAGGAAAAAATAGTACACTTGCTGTACTGCACAGTACTACAGAGTCATGTGCAGTACAACAGTAATCCTGATTTTTTGAGAAACACAGAACCTCAAAGCCATCTACTAAAGCATTGCAGCAAGCAGCGTATACATTACATAACGCTGACTTTGCCTACCCAGTAAAGGCCTGATGAAACGGTCCACGGTTAAGCATCTACATACTTCAATTCACCCGGCACTAAACGATTTGAGTAAATGATGTACTGCCGAGAAAACAAGATCCAATGTCGTACACGTGCATCATCATGCGTGTGTACGGCATTGAGATTTAACCCGACGCTGAGGCAGACATGCTCTTGGCCGAAGCCTCAAGCGCAATTTGCGTTCAAAGATTCGATGA